GTGTCATACATCACTTAAGATCTCCTGGGCGTTTCGTGCATGAATAACTTTGGGTTCTTCCGGAAGAGATGTCCACTGGTGAAAGTAGTGTCGGTACTCCAGGTCACTGAGAATGTACTGGCACCTTTTCGCTAGCACATGATTCATCATGTCATTGGGGATATGAACATTTGCTTTGGTGTCCTCATAATTTTTTCTGTAGTTCAGCTAAAAAATATTTTTAAAGACACAAATTAGAAAGAAATGAAAATGTACGTGATTCAGATTACTCTCTTTAGAGCCTTATTTCAGTATAGATCAGTACGCTTAGAATAGACTGATGTTTTTAAAAAAGGTGCTTTAAGAAACTCCTCTTCTTTTTAAGTTGCCCATCCTTTTATAACACAAGGTAAATAGTGACCCTGTTTCTTTCTTGTTTCCTGCAGGATAGAGCCCTACTGTGTGTAGTGAGAAGGGAGAGCCAGGGAGAAAGCCCACATTGCCATTGAGGGTTCACTGCTAATTGGCAGGGGTGGGAAAAGTCTCGAGAATGATTCCCTGTACCTTGTCCATCCCCCAGCGAATTCTGAACCAAAAGGCAAATTGTAAACAGGCAAACACAGTAGCACACTAAAGTGTGAAAACTCAGCGTTAAAGTGAACATCTGCTTACCACACTCCTCATCTTTTGGAAATCCAGACAGTGAACCACACCAGGGAACTCGCCGATCACCTTTCCAGCCAGGTAGTGACCTTTCTGCTTCTCATATGTCTCTTTGTATTTGAGCTGTGAAGTGGGTTCAACAGTAAGAATCACTGGGGTTTTCCAACTAGCTCTTTGCTCCCCAGTAAAGACTCCCAGATCTGGGGAGGGACAGTCATACTGACCTCACTGTTCACCAGGTCGGCATGCTTGGCTCCCACGATGGGAATATAGCGCTCATCCAAGGTATAGCCATAGGCCTTGGTTCCCTCCCACGCCCCCTTGTACAGGATCTAGGACAAAGGAAGATGTGTAATGACAGTTTGTACTCAGCTTCTTTCACGTATCACTTAAAAAAAACGAAATTGTAAGGGGCAAAGGTGGATGTTGACAGCAAGGCTGACATCTTAATCTACAACTAGTTAGTATGTCTATCTGAGAACAGGATGGTCATTTGGTTTATTACACATGGAACCTATGAGCTCGGAGACACTGTATAACAGAGTTTAACAATATTTACCGTTCTAGAGAAAGTGACAAGAAACTTGTACACAGGGCGAGAATCACCAAGGATTGCTTCCCATTGGTGTGTGCGTGCACACACACACACGTATGTGTGCTCACACATGCATCTTCCTTCTGTTCCTCCTTTAAGTACGCTGAATTAAATTTTAAAGGGTGAGCCTTCCATTTGTTGGTTGGTGATGTTTACTCATGGTTGCTAAAGAGGGACTAGCCCTTCCCCTCCTTTTCCCTGTTGGAACTTGCTAAGTCCTATGCATACCCAGGGCCCTCAGAACATTTGTTATATTACCTATTGACTTAATGGCATGTCCTTTCTCTCACTTATATGAGCTCCTGACAGGCTGGCCTCATGAGCTGTAGCTTAGCTCCTCCTGTGGTGCCTGACATAGTGCAGGAGCTCAGAGATAGCAGCTGAGTAAACGCCCCTTGGTCTTGAAGAATATGCTACTTCTAGTAAACAAGACTAAACACAGTAAAAATAATAGTTCACCTGATGAATTCATCTATTCACAAACAGGCTAGAATACAAATACTGCAATGAGCTTAAAATTAGGAACTGAGTTATCATTACGTAAAATAGAACTTACAGTACTGTAGAGTTTCCCCATGTCTTTCGAGTGGGAGATATGTGGTGTATCTGGAGAAAATGTATACTTGCCCTTGGCTTTATTAAATGTCTCTTTATATTTCACCTAAGGAGAGAAAAGCAGACAGAAATCTTTCATTACTATAAAGGTAAATGTAAATCTTCATCGGCTAAATCTAGTATTTAGAAATTCAAACTATGATTGGATCTCAGTCTACTTCACTAATAGAATAACGTGGGTGACACTATAGATAGCTAGAAGTGAGTACAGGATACCACATACTAGTGTCTTTAAAAGCCATTCCCCTCAAAGATTCTCTTATAATTAAGTCTCCCTCCCCATTTTTTTATAAGTTCTTATCTGAGGTTAAGCTCAGCTATTCAATGATAGACAACTAACTATCTGATTTGTGTGTTTCTGTAACTACAAAGCAAACTTACATCACTTTGGTTGACTGAGTTAATTTTGGCCAAAACAATCTCTGGAGGATCCACCACACTTGTAAAGTTAGGATAGTTGTCAAGAGCATCTTTCTTATATTTTATCTGCAAACAAACAGAGATGATGAAGATAGTCCACCTCGACAGAGCATCTACCCCCATATGGCAGGTAAGGAGGGCAGGCATTAGATTAGAAGGAGAACAGACTTTGTGTACCTGATTCACCATTTCCTGGTTCTTGGTAACCCTCACGTGGTCCACAGAATCTAGGGGGATCCAGCCAATGCCTCGGAGCCACTCCAGGTCAGCTTTGTAGACATTCTAAGAGCAGGAAGATAGACAGAGATATAAACGATTCAGGCACTGGATTACAGATAACACAGTACAATTTTCTCAGAAGCTCTTCATAGGTTTCTCTCTCATGGCTATTGTCTCATTTATTCTATCACAATTTCACCTGAGTGGTATTTCTCGAGCATGTTACTGGGTGTGATCGGGGCTTTGAGAGCTAAGTATACAGGAGTCTAGAGTTCAGAGGAGTCACTTATACAGTGGAAAGTGGTTAAGTGCTGTGAGAGCAAGAGCTCTCAAGTGCTGTGGAGAGAAGGGGAGGGGGCCATTGCGTCCAACTGCAGCCATAGGAAAAGTTGCAGTTTAAGATAGACCTGGCATGTTTGGTTATGTAGACATTTAGACTACACATGGGACATGCAGACTACCTGATGAATATTACACAAGTAAGTGCTCATGTATTTGTAGGGAAGGGAGAGGTGTCTCTTCCAACCTCGCCAGTCCTATCGCCGCCCTTCCCCCCTCTTTTAATTCTTGAATTCTCCTGGCCCACCACAATCAGATGAAGAGGAGTTGCGGCCCAGATGAAAGTGCCACTACTTATTCTGCTGCACCAACCGCTGATGGGGCAAGTTCATCATCTATGTCACAAGAAGTTTTTGATTGCCTTTTTATATTTTGATAATGATGAAAGATGGAGGCTCACCTTTCTGTGCACCTGACAACCAAGTCAATGTGTCATGATTCTGGTCTGTACCTATGGCTGGCTGGCAGCAGGTACAGGCCTTGACTCAGGCCTCAGTGCAAAGTAGCCTGTGTCATTTTCTCTGTCCCAGCTCTACGAAAGCTCTATACGAGGGATACTGGGCCTCACACAGCTTAATCAGTACTTTGTTTCTCTTTTGCTTTGATGTCTTGTAAGAAACTACTTCATAAACGCCTTGAGGAATGAAGATCCTTTCCAAAATAGGAATGGAGCATTCCTAGGACCTTGAGGCTAGCATTTAATATTGTCAAATCTCATCTGGATCTCAATTCCCACCCAAGCCAATGATTATTTCCTGTCAGCTGACAACGTCCCATGAGAATACGAGTGAGGAGCTGCTGATGGCAGAAAGGGTACAAAGGCATTAGATTCCTTAAGAAGTGACTGTGCTATTGAGAAGCATAGTCAGTAACTGAAGCTAGCAATCAGCCATGCACCTGATCTTTCTCTGCTTCGTACTCAGCCTCAGTTCCCTCTAAGAACAAATGAAGTACTGAGAGCCTGGAGTTTCAAAGACTGACATTTCTGGAAGACTGCTGATCATTCTAAGAGTGTAGCAGACATTTCTAGGTAATGAAGAACAGTGATCACTTACATCACTCTGTAGGTCATAGGCTTTCCTTGCCTGGATAACATCATTTTGGTCGGGATGACACGTCCATTGGCGCAGGTAATTACGGTAGTCGATATCACTGACGAGGTTCTGGCCCTCCTTGGCAGCCACGACGGACACCATATCAGCAGGTATGTTGATTTTGGCCTTTGTTTTGTGGTAGTCCTCTTTGTAGAGCCTGTCATTCTGAATCTGGCCTGCATGCTCAAACCAAACCAGTTTAGGGTCATCTCTCATCGTCGGAACACCAACGTAGTGGCCTTTCTGCTTTACGTGTTCAGCTTTGTATTTCAGCTGGTGGGAGGGAGAATGTAAAGTCCATTAGCTTTCACAAGCACGCAGAGCCAAGAGGCTTTTCCGTGTGCTGAAGAAATCAGAAGATTTGGCTCTCTTTTTGTTTGATAACTCCCACCCTGAGAACCAATAACATAAATAAATAAATATGAAGACATAGCCATATAAAAACAGGAAAAAAATGCTTGTTTTTTAATTCTGGCAATACTTTTAATGGGAGGCCTAGAGATTTTAGGAAAGACAAAGAATATAAGAAAGCCAAATAAAGTGAAAAAAGGAAAACCAAAGCCCACTGTAAAAGAACCAAAAGGGGAGGGAGCAGGTACCCCAGCCATCACCAAGTCCACCTGGCCTGCTAAGCTGAGGAGGAATGTCCCCACATGGTCCCTACACCTTGGCTGAGGGCAGCTCCTGTGCGCACGGCTGCTTTGCAGAATGCACTACATCTACATCGGGACACATTACCTCACTCTGAACATCGCTGGAGTGATGAGCATGGACAAACGGCACCGCGTCCGGAGGCAAAATGTAGCCTGTGGCTTTTTGTTTCTCCCAGCCTTCCTTGTAGAGATACTAGAAGACAGAGAGCCACAGCACAGGGTTGAAATGAGGAGTCGCAAGGAGGGATACATCAAGTGCATACATCTGGAGTTCCATCCCAGTCCTCCATCTCCACACCAAGTGCCAGGCAACAGGGTAAAGCCCATACCTGGTCCAGGATCCGGGCAGCCTCCTGGGCAGTGTGCAGCAAGGGGGTTTCGGTGAGGGTATACTGTGATTTGATGGCATTCCAGTCTTTCCGGTATTTAATCTAGCAGTGAGAGGCAAGAGGGAAATTACTTGATGCTAAGAAATATTACATTGTCCAAACAATTGCAATCATCACAAATTTCAACAGTTAAAACCCGTGTCTCAGACAACGATCGCATGCTGAGTGTAGATAAGTAGGAAAGTTTTGGAAGTAACATCTGCGTGATTGTACAATTTTAGGACAGCCATGTACTTACATCATCAAGGATTTCACCGCTTTGTTTCGCTGTCACGTAATCAACTCTGTCATCCACAGGAGTAAAGTTGAGAGTTTCTATTTTTGTGCGATATTTTTTCTATGGGATAGAAAATATCTTTTAGACAGTTGTGATTCTTGGTGCTGTGTGAGCTGAGAAAGACACACTCTACTTAGGAGTCCTCCTCTACTAAAAGCATAGGGTGCCAAATTTGAATGGCATCTTAGTAATTTGGTTTCCTTTTTAGCATTTGTTTTTAAGTAAATGCATTGGTTTCTTACACTTCTCACAGATTCTAAAATAGCAAATTTCTTAGCTCCCAAAGTTATGTAATATGTCATTAGGTATATCATCATAATACCCAATACATTTTCCCAGCTGGACAAACTTCTCCCAGGTGTACGGGTATTGCTATCAGAAGAATTTCTTCATTTACACAATTTCAAGCACCAATGAGTGTCCTGCATCTTTAATTATGCATGTGGTCTCATAATGGGATAGGGTCATATGGGATTCTTTTTTTTTTTTGAGAGGTTTTGCTATAGGGTGCGTGCGCTTGCCAGAAAGAGAGAGACAGAGAGATAGAAGGCAAGAAATCACCCCCCCAGGGGAGATGACCATGCCACAATCCCTTCTCCTCTATTCTCCTCTTGGGATCTTGGGCACACATGCACACACACCCGGTGTGAGTTTAAGTCAGCAGGTTCAGGACTCGTACCGCAGTTGGCTACATGGGAGTTCAGCGACATAGCCATTATACCAACTGCTGGTCCCCATATGGGATTCTTTCAGGAAAATATATGTCTGCTTATATACAATTATTAAAATAGTTAAAATTGTCATTTTAAAACAACTGCATTTTTTTAAGAGAGAGATTTTGCTATAGGGTGTGTGCACTCTCTAGAAAGATAGAAAGTAAGAAATCATCCCCCAGGGGGATGGCCACACCACAGTCCCTTCTTCATTCTCTTCTTGGGATCTTGGGCATGCACACACATGTGCCCAGCATGACTTTGAAGCCACCGGGTCTGGGATTTGAACCACAGTCGACTATGTGGGAGTCCAGCATCTTAACCATTATGCCATCTGCTGGTCCCAAAAACAACTGTACTTAGGTGTATCTATTTTTGTTCAGTCTCCTGGAAGTATACTGAATTGCAGGGTAAGATCTTGGAATACCTTTTTGTTTGATAACTCCCACCCTGAGAACCAATAACATAAATAAATAAATATGAAGACATAGCCATATAAAAACAGGAAAAAAATGCTTGTTTTTTAATTCTGGCAATACTTTTAATGGGAGGCCTAGAGATTTTAGGAAAGACAAAGAATATAAGAAAGCCAAATAAAGTGAAAAAAGGAAAACCAAAGCCCACTGTAAAAGAACCAAAAGGGGAGGGAGCAGGTACCCCAGCCATCACCAAGTCCACCTGGCCTGCTAAGCTGAGGAGGAATGTCCCCACATGGTCCCTACACCTTGGCTGAGGGCAGCTCCTGTGCGCACGGCTGCTTTGCAGAATGCACTACATCTACATCGGGACACATTACCTCACTCTGAACATCGCTGGAGTGATGAGCATGGACAAACGGCACCGCGTCCGGAGGCAAAATGTAGCCTGTGGCTTTTTGTTTCTCCCAGCCTTCCTTGTAGAGATACTAGAAGACAGAGAGCCACAGCACAGGGTTGAAATGAGGAGTCGCAAGGAGGGATACATCAAGTGCATACATCTGGAGTTCCATCCCAGTCCTCCATCTCCACACCAAGTGCCAGGCAACAGGGTAAAGCCCATACCTGGTCCAGGATCCGGGCAGCCTCCTGGGCAGTGTGCAGCAAGGGGGTTTCGGTGAGGGTATACTGTGATTTGATGGCATTCCAGTCTTTCCGGTATTTAATCTAGCAGTGAGAGGCAAGAGGGAAATTACTTGATGCTAAGAAATATTACATTGTCCAAACAATTGCAATCATCACAAATTTCAACAGTTAAAACCCGTGTCTCAGACAACGATCGCATGCTGAGTGTAGATAAGTAGGAAAGTTTTGGAAGTAACATCTGCGTGATTGTACAATTTTAGGACAGCCATGTACTTACATCATCAAGGATTTCACCGCTTTGTTTCGCTGTCACGTAATCAACTCTGTCATCCACAGGAGTAAAGTTGAGAGTTTCTATTTTTGTGCGATATTTTTTCTATGGGATAGAAAATATCTTTTAGACAGTTGTGATTCTTGGTGCTGTGTGAGCTGAGAAAGACACACTCTACTTAGGAGTCCTCCTCTACTAAAAGCATAGGGTGCCAAATTTGAATGGCATCTTAGTAATTTGGTTTCCTTTTTAGCATTTGTTTTTAAGTAAATGCATTGGTTTCTTACACTTCTCACAGATTCTAAAATAGCAAATTTCTTAGCTCCCAAAGTTATGTAATATGTCATTAGGTATATCATCATAATACCCAATACATTTTCCCAGCTGGACAAACTTCTCCCAGGTGTACGGGTATTGCTATCAGAAGAATTTCTTCATTTACACAATTTCAAGCACCAATGAGTGTCCTGCATCTTTAATTATGCATGTGGTCTCATAATGGGATAGGGTCATATGGGATTCTTTTTTTTTTTTGAGAGGTTTTGCTATAGGGTGCGTGCGCTTGCCAGAAAGAGAGAGACAGAGAGATAGAAGGCAAGAAATCACCCCCCCAGGGGAGATGACCATGCCACAATCCCTTCTCCTCTATTCTCCTCTTGGGATCTTGGGCACACATGCACACACACCCGGTGTGAGTTTAAGTCAGCAGGTTCAGGACTCGTACCGCAGTTGGCTACATGGGAGTTCAGCGACATAGCCATTATACCAACTGCTGGTCCCCATATGGGATTCTTTCAGGAAAATATATGTCTGCTTATATACAATTATTAAAATAGTTAAAATTGTCATTTTAAAACAACTGCATTTTTTTAAGAGAGAGATTTTGCTATAGGGTGTGTGCACTCTCTAGAAAGATAGAAAGTAAGAAATCATCCCCCAGGGGGATGGCCACACCACAGTCCCTTCTTCATTCTCTTCTTGGGATCTTGGGCATGCACACACATGTGCCCAGCATGACTTTGAAGCCACCGGGTCTGGGATTTGAACCACAGTCGACTATGTGGGAGTCCAGCATCTTAACCATTATGCCATCTGCTGGTCCCAAAAACAACTGTACTTAGGTGTATCTATTTTTGTTCAGTCTCCTGGAAGTATACTGAATTGCAGGGTAAGATCTTGGAATACCTCACTGAAGATATCTGCAGCATGTTTGGCATGATTGACGGAAACAGAATCATTTGGCATCCACCCAATTCCACGTAACCACTCCAGGTCGGCCTTGTACACAGCCTGTGAAGACAAGGCCAGAGTGAATTCAATGCCGTTGCTCACATGGTCCTATTTAGCCTATCCACTGGTGGGATGAATAAATACAATGTAGTAGTCACAGTGATGGCCTCCAGCCTGGCAAGTAACAGGAGAAATTAACCAGGAGGCCAAATAGAGTAAAAATGGAGGCCGCATCTACTCTTTAGAGGAGGTTAACTTCAATTCGGTCCCAGGTTATTGTTGCCAAGGAGCAATGCGCACCCAAAGCTACAACCTCTAAACTTCCAAGAGAAATGGGAAATCTTGGATTTGTACACAAAAAATCCTGGATTTAAAAACATAGCTTAGCTTTCTAAACACTGTCAATTAAAAAAAGCATATCTGTGTCTACACCCTACCCTGGTCTGGCAATATCTGTGTTGATATAAACCTTGATGACTACCTGAATTTTATAGAAGATATATTTTCAGAGTCGTTATTTTAAATCAACCTGATACAATGAAGACCTCTATTCACACTATCATTTATTTCTTGATACAAAGTCTAGCTTTTTCCTGGCTTGGATGATTTCAATACCGTGTACCAAAGTCTAACTAATATCCAATTCTTAGCTGAATGAGGACGTGAAATATGATACCAAGGTTTAATGGCATAGACTTCCTGGGAGTCAAGGCAAAATGACAGAAGAGCTCATTCTAAAATGCAGCCCACTCACGTCGCTCTGCAGTTCGTAGGCTTTCTTGGCCTGAATAACATCGTTCTGGTCAGGCATGCAAGTCCACTGGTGTAGGTAATTGCGGTAATCGATGTCGCTGACCAGAGTCTGGCATTTCTTAGAATGTAAGATGGAAAGCATGTCTGCAGGGCTCTGGAACTTGGTCTTCCATTTGGCCCACTGCAGCCGGTACTCTCTTTCATTCTGAATCTTGCCAGCTATGAGGGCCCACCGGATCTTGTTGTCATCCCTGGCTGTGAGAGTGCCCACGTAGTGTCCCTTCTGCTTCTCATGGTCAAGCTTGTACTTATACTGGGATAGAGAAACAAAGCAGACGGATCACAGCATGTCCTCTAGATGCACCTGGGGCATTTGCTAAAAAAACTGGGAAGTCAGAAAAGGTTACACTCACGTCACTGGCAATCTCCCTGGAGGCCTTGGCAGCCTGGATGGGGATGGCGTCCAGCCGCACATCACAGCTCATCTTCACCTCATCCCAGCCTTCACGGTAAATTTTCTGAAAAGGAGAGTAAATGAAGTATTAGTCCGGATTCACGTTTCAGTAACTCCAAGGGTTCAAGTAGAATTAATATTATAGGAGTACAGTTTTGAAGTTTCAAGACTTAAGACCAATTAAAGAAAAGAAAATAGGTGAAGAAGCCATCCTATGTACTGTCGTACTGGAACGGGAAAGCTTGCTTGGAACCCAGAGGTCTGGGCTTGACAAGAGATCTTTTTCATCTGAATCATAGCCCTGGTACAGTTGTTCATGGCTTATAGTCTCATGCATCATGTAAGAGGATTTAGCTTTTATTTCTTGTGTTAGTGAATTGGTAGCATTTGGATCAGTTCAGACATTAATGGGCTATTATTGCATTTCTTTAATTCAATAATTCAATATATTTGTTTCTTTGTTCAATGTTAGGATCTTCATAACTGCAAACTTTTTACATGCGTGGGTTTATTTATTTTTTTTTTCAGTATGACCTCTCAGTCTTATATGATTGATGGCATATATCAAAATAAGTCACTTAAATGTATAATTCAGAAATCACACCAAATTGTATGAAAACTTCTATTATCAACAGTTTCATAGCTTTCGTATACCTGAAAAATTGGTGCTCAGATAAATCTTGTCCTTCTATGCATGGACAAATTTTGCATAAATTTTCATTCAAACTTTTGTATGAATTTTGGATGGTTTTTTAAAAGCAACTTACTTGTTTATAGAGAAAAAAGCATTTTCCACATTTAGATGAATTATACTAGGGACTAATGTAAACATAAGGTTTTCTAGTTTTTTTAACTAGTTTTATGACATATTATTCTAGTACTTTTTTTCTTAAAATTTTTTTGCTTATTTATGTAGTCAAATATATTTTTTATTTGAACTTAAAAAAAAGAAATCTGGACTTGAGACTTAACTTAGATGCTAACTTTGAGAATATGGACAAACTCCTTAACATTTTAAATCTTAATTTCCCATATAATAAAAGCAAAATAACAAATCTTATCTATGTGGTTAGTATGAAGATTAAGTCAATTTAAAATGAATTTGCTTTTGTTACCAGTGAAGTTCTATGTACTGCAAAAGAGCTTTCTAAATAGTAGAGCAGTTTGAATAGTGGATTTTAAAAATATTATAGAAATAACCACACCTAGGCCAGCAGGTGGTATGGTGGTTAAGAGCGCTGGACTCCCACATGATTGACCATGGTTCGAATCCCAGACCTGGAAGCTTGCTGTCTCTCTCTCTCTCTCTCTCTCTCTCTCTCTCTCATTTCCCCATGGTCAAATTAAAATAAATAAATAAACAAAAATAAAGTAATTCTTTTTAAAAAAATTAAAAAAGAAATAACGATATCGCATGTGAAGAAAACTTCTGTGTGTTTTGGTGAACATTGAAATGGAATCGCCGATTTCTTCCAAACGGCAAGTCTATTCTCATTAACATCTACTTATCTATCTAAAATTAACTTTCCTTTTGGCATAGTTGGAATATCAATCTTGTTCATAGCATGATATCCATGTAGTGGCAGGGTTTTGTTATTTTCTCAGCTGAGAAATTTATCTTGTAAAGTAGAGTATATGAGACTCTCCAGAACTCTCCTGCCTATGGATTGATGTCTAAGAGGGGGGCTGAGGCGTCTACGCTTCAGTGAAGAACTGACTGCTTCTTGATCCAACTACTTGACAACAAGAATGCACTGTACCATGACATCCATTCTGGTCTGGAAAAAAAAAATACATCTGTGTCCTGAAATTTTATTTTCTTCCCAAACTTTGGAAATAATTAGTCCCCAAGTGGCTCATTACAATAGAGTTAATGCAACAGTGTAGCCCATGAAGAGGAATCTTTGTTTGACAGACTCCTTTTCTTACAGAGATTTATTCTTCTTCCAAAAAGATGCAAAGTTCCAAACCATGGTGAATTGCACTAAGGCAGTACTCTTCTTCAAAAGTCTTGCTTATTCTACACACAGCACTGTCTGTGCTCTATGAAAGTGGTATCTTTTTTGAACTTTCTTGAATTGCACAGCCAGCCGTGTCACAGAATTCTCTTGCATTAACTAACAGATTTTTTTTCAGTTTGATTCTCTTTCTTTTTCTAATCATAAAATGTTTTCTCCTGCAAACAATATTTTGATTCTTTCTCTCCAATATCTCTTACTCTTACTTTCATGCAGTTATATTGGTATCAGTGAGATGTTTACTCACCTAGCCAGTACTTCCAGCAAATATTAAATTAAGTTGATGTTAATGAGCATCTCTGTTTTAATCAACTCCAATGAGAAGCTGACTTACTAAGAATGAGCTGGTCTTTAATCTAAGGTTTATTTTTGCCTATATCAAGAAATTGTTCATTTATTTATATTTTACTATGATTTTAATAAAAATATAAGGATGAGTATTGGATTTTGTCATACCTTTTCCACTCTTTCTCTGTGTGTATGTGTGATGTATGTATTTTTTATTATGACTACTGGTTCGTTAAAATTGTAGGTAAAGCCGCCATATTGATGCGTGGGACTTACGATCTTTAATCAATGCATGAGGAAGAACTGAGCACAGGCTGTGGTTGAGCTCTGTACTGAGATGTGAGCCCACACATGCTTTTCTTTCCAAATCCAAACAAAGACTGTATAGTCTTCCTCTCTTGTCCTATTACATTATTAGGTTTCTGAATTTGGAAACTTCTTGGCATTTCTGTACAAAACCTGCTGTTTATATCATATCATTTGAATATACTTCTGAATTGGATTTGTTACTATTTTAGATTTTCCCCATCATTATTGTTCTACGGTTTTCATTTGTGAAACTGTTTTTAACGAGTTTTGGTAACTGTGCCTTTCATCAGATGTCATGGTAGCTTATTTCTCAAAGTTCTAAAAGAATATCTCTTGTGAAAATATCCCCTGCACTTGGCATGAGAAAAGAAAAGATTTAATCACCTTAATTTCTTGCCACATGTTTTCTATTTATTTTCTGGGGCCAATTTTGGTCATTTATAATTATCCCCATAGATCCAGGTTGTAAAATGAATTTGTCTATTTTTGCAAATAATTCTTATAATTATTTTCAATTTGACTAAATCTGTCATTGATTTTCCTTTCTTGTTAGTGCATCTCTTCATTCCGCTTTCATCTTTTTTGTTCTTATTTTCCTCTTTCTTTTGTCATGTTGACATTGATTTACCAGGAACTGGCCCTGACCAGTGACTCAGAGGCTGGGGTTTGCTTTCCTCCTCACTCTGGTCAAGGGGTGATGGCAAGGAGTCCTCCCTACCCCACCTAGTCAACCTTTTTTCCCTCGACTATGAAGAGAACTATGGTCATTTTAATATATAACACCAACTGAGTGAATTCCCAAAACAAAACTAAGTCAGTACTTACATTGCTCACATTAAGAGCATTTGCTCTAGCAAGATTAATTTCTGGAGTGTCTGGCATTATGTGGATTGAAGTTTTATCCTTGTCCCAAACTTCTCTGTACTTTGGCTAAGGAAAGAAACAATAAAAAAAAAATTACATAGCAATTTATAATTTTTCTATTTCCAGTGCAAATTCTGAACTTTTGTTTTGGATCTGATTCAAGATCTTCCCATATTCAGATAAAGACTTTTGAAATATCTTCATGTAAGTTACGCAAATTCAGTATGAAATTTGTATTGATGCCTTTGGTTAATACTCTGAGGTTTTGTTTAAGATTAAAGACCAAAGCCAAAACAATGCTGTCAATATTAGTTACTAAATTTTTCATCATCAATGTTTTATCCCATAAATGGACCACCAATTTAATTAATTACAGCACCAATTCAATTTAATACAAAAAAGCAACTTACAATGCTAATATTTTCAGCATTTGACTTGGCAAGGACAACTTCAGGTGTGTCAACAATGCTTGTATACTTGAGATTGACCACAGGTGTCCGATAGACGCTGTCACAGAGGATCTCTTGCGCATTTTTGACTCTCAGTACTTCAGGAGACCCTTCAGGCATCCAGCCAATGCCACGCAACCACTCCAAGTCAGCCTTATAGATGGCCTGGGGATGAAAAAGTTAAGTAGAAGCAAGTCGAAGACTATGGCTTCCCATTGGTCTTAGTATAAAGACCAAAATCCTTAACACGGACCAGGATAGAGACGGTCTGACATCCACCCCCTCACATTCTTCCGGCCTCATGTCCTGTACCCTTCCCTTCGCTGCGTGTGCTCCGACTGCACTGGCTGTCGTTCAGTTCGTGGTTGGCAAATGCACCTTTGCGTATGTTGGTCACCCAGTAGTAAAGTCCTTGTGTCTCCCTCACAGTTCACAGAGCTGGCTCCTGCTCTCTTCACATCTCCAGTGAACCAGCACTTTCTCAGAGGCACTTTACCCACCTCTCCCTTTTTTTTTTTTTTTTGGAGAGGTTTTTGCTATAGGGCATGTGCACTCGCCGGACAGACAGTGAGAAATCACCCCCCAGGGGGTTGGCCACACCGCAATCCCTTCTCCTCCATTCTCCTCTTGGGATCTTGGGCACGCATGCACACGTGCCCGGCGTGAATTTAAGCCACTGGGTCCTGGACTCAAACCACAGTCAACTATGTGGGAGTCCAGCGATATAGCCATTACGCTAACTGCTGGTCCCTACCCACCTCTCTTTTCATAGCATCACGGACCACTTTTTCTTAGCTGTCCTATTTTTTCATTGATGTATTTTAATTAATGTCTATTTCTTTGTTATCGATGTGAACTCCCTGAAGTTAGGAGCTATGCATTATTTTCCCCTCTTTGTTCACCACTGTATCATTGGGGCTCAGTTTAATGCCTGGCACATGTATGTGTAATAAATATTAGGTTGTTGGGCAAGTCATGATGTGTTGCTTTTTTTTTTTTTGGAGAGGTTTTCCCTATAGGGCACGTGCACTCACCAGACAGACAGAGAGAGACAGAGAGACAGAAAGCAAGAAATCACCCCCCAGGGGGGATGGCCACGCCACAATCCCTTCTCCTCCATTCTCCTCTCGGGATCTTGGGCACGCACGCACACATGCCCGGCGTAAGTTTTAAGCCACCGGGTCTGGGACGTGAACTGCGGTCGACTATGTGGGAGTCCAGCCATTACGCTAACTGCTGGTCCCATGATGTGTTTTTCAATGCAAAAATGGATCATGACTTTCCCAAAGACCCAATATTTTTAAAAGAAGAATTAAGGGGGGCAGCAGGTAGCATGGTCGGTAAGGCACTGGACTCCCACATGGCTGACTGTGGTTCAAGTCCTGGACCTGGTGACTTGAAAATCACGCTGAGTGTATGTGTGCATGCAGAGGGACTATATGTCACTTCTCCGCCTCCATAATCATGAAGCCAATTTCCCTGGTAAGTTCTCTGTAGTATGTCTACATCTATATACTATTTGTTCTGTGTCTAGAGAGCCCTAATAGCAACCAGTAACTAATTAGTGGGTTGGGGACAAGCAGTTGGCATAATGGCTATGTCACTGGACTCCCATGTAGTCAACCACAGTTTGAGTCCTGGACCTGGTGGCTTAAACTCATGCTGGGTGCCTGTACGTGCATGCATGCCCAAGATCCCAAGAGGAGAATGGAGGAGAAGGGTGATTTTTCACTTTCTGTCTCTCTCTCTCTGTCCTTCTGGAGAGTGCATGCACCCTACAGAAAAAAAAAAAAAAACCTCTCAAGAAAAACAAAAAGCAAAAAGCTACTGGGTTGTTCAGAGATGGTATTTTAATAGTTAACAGAACACACATATTAGGCTAAAAGTCTAATAACAAAAGTGAGAAATGTTGGAAAAATATGTCTTAATGAAAAATGACATTATATAATATTTTAATATTTAAAATATAGTTGATACCCAAAATTCAAAAGAAAAGATTCTCAAAGAGAACTGTTTACAGATTCTAAGTTTCTTGTCCTCCTTCTTTAAGACCTTGAACAATAGGCATGCCTCAATGCACTACTGTGGTTCAGGTTAATGAGGAGATTATACTGGGTTATTAGAAAAGTCATGATGCATTTTTCACATAGAAAAATATGTCATGACTTTTCCAACAACCTAATATTTCTCTAGAAACTGTCTTAAACCCACTATAGAGCAATTAATTTTGAGTGACGAGCTTACTTTCCTGAAATAAATTCATTTATTATAAAAAAGTATCTCTTAAAGCTTAAGGGAACCAAGGTCAGATAACTAAAAGAAATTATCCATTTGATACCAGAAATAATCTTAAGGAATCCATCATTTCTATAAGATTGATTGAGCAAAAAATAGGAACTAAATCTAAAAATGCCTTAAATAAATTAACAAAACACCATGTTGCAAAGAACACCAAGTTAAAGGACAAGTGGTTTGGCGTATGCTACTAGCTTCTGAAATTGACTTTAAGGAAGGCAGCCTTGACTTTCTTCAATACATAGTTGAAAGACCATAGACATTCTCAAGAAACTACAAACACTGTTCCGCATTAACAAATCCATATAACATTTCTGATAGCATCTTAAAGCAATCAAAATGAAAACTTTCTGACTAAACTTGATCACATTCGGTAAAATACTAAGGTGAAGTATCTAGCTGGGGAGAGTTGTGTTTTCTGGAGCACCAGAGGGAGCCATGATGCAAAGCCTTGGACGTGCTTCCTGGGGGATATACTTACATCGCTCTGGAGGTCGTAGGCTTTCCTGGCTTGAATCACATCATTCTGGTCCGGAAAGCAAGACCATTGGTGCAAGTACTGGCGGTAGTCCACGTCACTTGCCAGTGCCTGGCCTTCTTTGGCAGCGTTGATGGACACCATGTCTGCTGGGATGGTGATCTTGGCCTTGTGGTCGTTGTAGGCTTTTTTGTACAGCCTATCATTCTGCATCTTCAAAACGTTTGCTGCCCAAACCAGCTTAGGGTCTTCCTTGGCATTACGACATCCAATGTAATGGCCTTTCTGTTTCTCATATGCAGTTTTATACAGGTACTGGTGGGTATGAGCAGAAGAAAGAGCAGATTTCCACGTGCACGTTCTGCAGGGAGTCTACTCGAGGTAGCTCCACCTCCCTCAGACTGTCTTTTTACGTCGTATTTTTCTTTCAGTTCGTACTAAAAGACTATACTTCTTGATCTGTTGGTGTGTCTTCTCTACCTCTGTACATAAAAACCTGTGAACGCCTCTAAGACAAGAACTGTGCTTCAGGATTATATCGCTAAACGGGCTTCTCCAGTGTTCCCCACTCGTATTTGACGTAGCTTTGTCAAATTAGCTCATTGTTTGGCAGATTTCAAAATTGTAAGCTTATTTTAAAATTTTCAAATTAAAAGTGTTATTTTAAAGTTCATAACCCTATCTAAATGGGGAAAAATCAGTATTGAAAACCATATATTAATAGCCACAGACTGTTTTCTAAAAAAATATTTGTCTATGTACTACAAAACAACAAATGAACTACCAAGAGCACGCATGCCATACTTTGAGCAACAGAATTCTTCACACTGACTAAATCTCTATAAGTGCTTATTAATAAACTGATATTGAAAGATATTAAAAAGAAAATCAAATTTGTACTTAAACATAAAAATTACAGAATCAAACAGATGTAAGAAGATTCCCAAATCATTGTAAGAGTTGCTCTTCTTTTTCCCTTTTTTTTTAAGACAGGGTCTTGCTTTGTCCCAATCCTCTTGCCTCAGCCTCCCAGAAGCTAAGACTAACAGGCATGTGCCACCGCACATTTAGGTTGGGCTGGGAATTGAACATGGGCCTCTATGTTGTCTCAGTCTGCCATGCAGCAGCATCAACCAGTGTGTGCTACCACTGGACTGTAAGAGCTATTCTTGAACCTAGGGTTTTAAAACAACATATTATTCAGTATTTCGAAATTTTGAAAGTTGTTTGTAAACTGTCTAGAACTATGGTGTATGAGCTAAAATTTTTTGATATGTAAAGTAAATGTTTGTGGAAAAATGTAAAAATAAATAAATGAAAGAAAAAAAATAAAACAACATACTATTAATTCTGTTTAAATATAATTCCCGAGGAATTAAGTTAGATTCCCTGGGTGTCTACTAATTAGTGTTTGTTAAGACTGGGCAAGGAGCTCTTACATCACTGGCAATATCCCTGGAAGCCTTGGCATGCTGGATCCCAATGGCATCTGCTCGCAAGTCATAGCCAGTCATCTTGACATCTTCCCAGGCTTGCTGGTACTGTTTCTGCAAATGGAGATAGCAATGCCACAGTCAATCTGAAGAGGGAGCTAGTGAGTCAGCATTACTGACGTGCTTTAAAATAGATATTAACAGTTACACTGAACATTAATCACTCAAGATATATAAAATAAGCTGGAATCATCTTGAACTTTAGTTCCAGTCGATTTTTAATGACATGTAGTAAGGCTCTCTCCCCATAATTTTTTTTGAGGAAAGGAAATTAAGGAGACAGTAAAAACCAGGAAAAAATCATTTAGATTTTAAAAGGAAGAAAAAATGATAACCTATTTAAAAAGAGAACTAAATATTACTATCCATGCATCTGTATATTTTACATTATATTTCTGGAGAAACTATTGTATTTTTTCCTTTCCACAAAGATATATCTATCTTCTCTATGTTGTAAACACATAAACAGATCCACTCAAATACTTATCATTAGCTTATTGGCCAGAAATAAAGAGAATGAAAGGAAATGCCTTTTGCCAAACTCTCCTTGGACTACATCTATTGGTAAGAAAGAGGTTTGGCGAGGCAGGCAGCATTCTACGAAGTGAACTTGGTGTAGTGGCTTACGTTGCTGATCTGGATAGCATTGAGCTTGGACTGCAGCATCAGTGGGGTGTCAGCTGGCACATTCACATTGGCCTTCTCTTTGTCCCAGGCATCTCGATACAGTGGCTGGTAAAAAGGAAAAGCAATGGGATGGCTGATGAGTAAATAAGTCAATTACCACATGAATAAATTTATAAGCAAACATTGTAAGTGTTAATAGCATCTTTGGATGCTTACTGATATAAGCACAGATCACAACTGACCTTCATTTGAGCTTTTATTTAAAAGGTGGCACTAGCGACTTCAACAAGAATACATTCACGTGTGATAGAACAGAAACTGAAAATGAGTCAGAAATACAGTAGAACAAGGATCCTTTTCCACTTATTCACATCTCAGTGTTGGTAGGTAAATCCATATTGCAACTAACTAGGCTACTCTCCATTGTTAATAAGGACCTTGTTTTCTTGGCCCAAATAACTGTCACAAGATCTGACTAGAGTTGCCCCCTTGATTTCTCAACCTATTTCATGATTGAATAACCATAAAAGGGTGGAAATTATGTGATTATGTTGTCGAGTGACCGGCCTGTGTTATGGTATGGATCTCAAAATGTGATCAAAATGCATCGGAGTCTGTAGAACGTGGAGATGCCCACCACACCTGTATTGAACAAAGGGTTACTAAGGCAACTGAAGTAGAGAGATCGCTAACTGATTGACTATATAAAGACCTATCTGGATACATGTGTGTTCAAGATCTTACTGCTGATGTTAGCAGTTTAAAGTTTACATTCCGATTTTTTCAGGTTGAGATTTCTTCGATTTGCTGAAAACATCAACAACCCAGCTTACCTCACTGATCTGGAGAGCATTGGTCTTTGCCAGGACCACCTCTGGGGTGTCAACAATGCTGGTAAATTTGAGAGCCTCAGGCCTTATACGATACAATCTTTCATTCAAGAGATTCTGGGCATTCTTCACTCTCATCACTTCCACAGAGCCCTCTGGCAACCATCCGATACCCTTCATCCACTCCAGGTCTGATTTGTACACGTTCTACATGAAGGAGAAAAAATACAAAAGAGGAAAGAGTTAAATTTGCCCACAAGAATGGGATGCTTGCAAACCACCTAGCACCTCTACCTAAACAGCTGGGTGGCCGGTCCCATAAAACTGAAGGACCAAGGTTAAGTGTGAATATTGGGGCATGTCTCTGGCACACCTCTCTGGGAGATGTTCACAGTATTATTCAAGAGCTGGAGCAGGCTCACAAGCAGCCGTTGGTAAATGAAGGCAGCCATGGCACACAGTTGTGTCTCTAATCGGTTGAGCTTCCATGCGTACCACTTGCAGTCTGCCTTTCATGTACCACTGGGAATAGCATCTGTAGGAACGTCTAAGAAAAAGATCCTTAGACATATATATAAAATGAGAAAAACAGCACATACCTAAATCTGTATCTATTTACCTCTCCTTTTCTCTCTGTCTCACTCTCTCTGCCTCTCTCTCTCGTTCCCTCTGTGTCAGATGAACCTGAAACCTAATCTTTCCTTGTGATTTATCTATCTGATCATACAACGGTAATGGATCAGAAGAGCTGGCACTAAACTTTCTACCTAGTTACAAAGAATAAGAGGCTCATTTTGAGTGTGGCAAATAAGGGTTTGAGCCATAACATAGAAAATGTTTTGGAAAAAACTACCACCGTGAATTGTACAGAAGATATTGGGTTCCATCAAGATTTCCATTTATCCCTCTGGGGAACAGCAGTCTGGTTAAACACACACACACACATCTCCCTGGAGACTGGTGATGGTATACGCACATCGCTCTGCAGTTCATAGGCTTTCTTAGCCTGGATCACGTCGTTCTGATCTGGCAGACACGTCCACTGGTGCAGGTAATTGCGATAGTCAACGTCGCTAACCAAGACCTGGCATTTCTTGGCCTGGACAATTGACATCATGTCCAACGGTGTATTGTGAATTCCCTTAGACTTCTCATAAGCTTTCTTGTATTCTCTGTCACTCTGGATCTTGGCAGCATGTATAGACCATACCAGCTTGGGGTCATCTTGTAGGGTGCGGAAACCCACATGGTGGCCCAGTTGCTTACGGTAACCTTCTTTGTATTTGTACTGAAGTTGAGACAAATCAGAGAAACAGACACGTGAAAATACTGTATTAAGAGGATTTTTCTTTAAATGATTACAGAATATTTCCTTAGTTTCAGTGTAAATTGGCTCAACATTGACAGTCATATACATTTCAAGCCTCTTTAAAGAAATTAGATAGGACTATTGTAGGTGGTTTCACAAAGCATATGAGTAAATCATGCATGGTGAAATCATAGTATGGTGGACACGGTTATGAGCTTTAAATGTGTTAGGTTGTTTCATATGAAACCTCTGAATTTTTGGGGTTTTTTTTGTTTGTTTGTTTTTATTTGTTTGTTTGTTTGTTTTTTTAAAGAGGTTTTTGCTATGGGGCATGTGCGCTCGCCAGAAAGATAGAGACAGAGAGAAAGAAAGCGAGAAATCATCCCCCAGGGGGGCTGGCCACGTCGCAATCCCTTCTCTTCCATTCTCCTCTTGGGATCTTGAGCACACATGCACACATGCCCAGCGTGAGTTTAAGCCACTGGGTCTGGGACTCGAACTGCAGTTGACTACACGGGAGTCCAGTGACATAGCCATTACACCAACTGCTGGTCCTGAAACTTCTGAAATTTTCAATAAAAAATGTTGAATGGTGGCAATTAAAATCACAGTTACTCCTCAGAGTATCTCTATGAGCTATATCCTGTTATTGTAATAGAGTTCATATGGGAAAAATAAGGCACAGCGAGGTTGACAGCCATCAGCAAGATTGCCTCATAGTTTCAGGTGAAATGGTCTCCCCAGAGTAGTGAAGGTACTTCAGGTGAGGAATAGTCACAGCTGTGATTTTGGAGACAGAAAGGAAGACGTATGTGTCAGGGAAGGAAGCAAGGTTACTGGCTTAAATCAGAAGATGGCAACAAAACGTCTGTGAACAGGTGTTTCCTTCGGAGTGCCTCAGGCCTAGGGTAAGAGGGCTTGTTTCTCCTGTTTGGACACCACAGGAAAGTTGGGACAAAGGGGGGAGTGAAAAGACTGGAACAAGCCAGATATTGTGGACCAACTGTGGTTAACAGGGGCAAGCATGAGGAATAGAGAGGAGGAAACAGCAAGGTACATGAGGTAAAAAAGAGAGAGTAAGCCGAAGAGAGAGAACAAAGTGGCTTCAGTATTTGGAGCTGAGCTTGTTACAATCATTATTTTGACAGTCAGTAAGTTTTACATTTTGTTTTGTTTATTCTATTTTATACAATTTTGCCAGAGGGCATGTGAGTTCACCAGAGAGAATCAGAGAAAGAGGGAAAGTGAGAAACCACCCCAATGCGGGATGGTCAGGACACAATCTCTCTCCCTCCATTTCTCCCTCCTTTTGGGATTTTGGGCACACATGCATGTGTCTGACATGTTTTTTTCAAGCCACCAGTCAGAGACTTGGACTGCACAGTCAACTAAGTGAGGTTCAGCCACCAGCTGGCCCAACTGTTAGTAAGTTTTAATATTAGTGTTAAATGAACTTTAAAAGGTTACTAGAAGTATTTTATATAAACTTCCAGTAAAAAAAAATCTTACATACAAAATGTGATTTCAGTCTTAAGTCTCCTTAGAAACTATGGTATATTATTTATATTTGTGGAGAGTGTCAGAAATGTTTGGGGGATAATATGACATTGTACTGGTTTCTGAATTTTCCCCAAGAATTTCTCATAGACTTTTCATAATATTCTGTTTTTACTCAGAAACACTATAGAAGTTATTTACACTTATATCTATGTTAATCTTAATAATTTACTCCCATTTTAGTATTTTTAAGTATAGAAAGCTTCTAGCACAAGATGAAACACAATTGTGTGCTTAACTTCTAAAAACTTCTTCAAAAAATGATCTTCCTATTTGTTCCACGGAGGAGAAAAACTGCAAGAAAACAGAAGGAAGCCTACCTCACTGGCAATTTCTCTGGAGGCTTTGGCATGCTTGATTTCAATGGCATCTGCTCTTATGTCATAGCCTTTTTGCTTGGCCTCATCCCAGTCTTTTTGGTAGAGTTTCTATTGAGGGAAAATAGAAGTTAACTTACAAGAATTGAAAATAAGCAAATATACCCAAAGCAGTCATAATATAAGCCATAAGGTGTAGTGTAAGAAAGGCAGTATAAGCAAAAAGAATTGGTTTCTGAGTCCTTTGGTTGTTGGTTATTTACTTTGTAGTATGCAGGATATTTCTGATGAAAAATTTAAAGATAAACCTCTGACTCTATTAGTGTTGAAATATTTGCATTCATTACAATGTTATCTAAGCCTGAAAATGTCCCACTGTGCAAGACATAAAAACTGAGACTCGAGGGTGAAGCCAGAGAGTCTCATCGAGGTCTAAGATCTGATAAGATTTCCCCCTCCTATTTTACTCTTTGACTTCTCAGAGGTCGCTGCTCAAGAGATGTCACAGAGATATCCCATATTCCAGTATGAAATCTTATATAAAGAAGTACATACATATAACTCTCATATACAAAATGCGATTTCAGTCTTAAGTCTCTTTAGAAACTATATTAGTTACATTTGTGGAGAGTGTCGGAAATGTCTGGAGGATAAAGTGACATTGTACTGGTTCCTGAAATTTTCCCCAAAATTTTGTATAGACTCTTCATGTTATTCTGTTTTTACTCAGAAACACTAAAGATGTTATTTACACTTATATCTCATCTACGTTCATCTTAATAATTTTCTCCCATATTAATATTTTTAAGTAGAGAAAGCCTTTTTGCTTATCCTGCTTTTTGGATGTAGTTGAAAATTGTCTTTTGGCTTTTCTTGTGGCCTTAAAATAACAAATGAGAAAGTCCTGGGTCAATAAAAAGCCAACAGAGACTGCTGAGAGCCAAGGGTAGGCTCCGATGGGATTCCTGTACTCCAATAGCCCACAGCCTAGGTGCCCAGTCACGTATCTGAACTATTGTTTAGGAAGGGATTTCCAGTCCTATTGGACTGGGAGTGGTAGCTCAAGAGAACATGCCTAACACCCAAAACTGTGAACATCGTAAGGTAGATAATTTTCCCATTATAATGCCCTCAATAAGCCGACAGTCATTGCCCCATAAATTCTTTTACATCCCGTATTTATGCCTCTTACATTGCTGACTTGCAAGGCGTTGATTTGGGCCTGAAGCATGACTGGAGTATCTGAAGGAATGCTGATGTTGGTTTTATCCTTGTTCCAGGCCTCTTGATACAGTTTCTGTAGAGAACACACAGAGAGCATGTATCTGAAAGATCAAGTCTTAGCAACTACTTCATCTGTAACAATGTTTTTATACATGTTTATCATGGTTCATTTTATTTGCTAACTTGGCTCGGCTATGCTATCCAGACAGCTGGTGAAACGTTATTCTAGATGTTTTCATAAAGGTATTTTTCAGACGGGATTAACATTTATTAGTAAACCGAGTAATGCAGAGTGGCCTTAATAGGGGCAGGCATAGTTCAGTTATTGATAGTTGGAGGCCTTCTAAGCAAAAAAGGGATTCTGCCACAGACGCCTTTGGAGTTCAAGTACAGTTCTTCAGTGGGTCTCCAACCTGCTGGCTTACCCTGCAGAATTTGCACTAGCCACTGTGCACAACCTCACAAGCCAATTCTTAAATACAAACTCTCTCTCTATATATGTATCTTTATATATATACACACACATATGTACAACACATACACACACACACCCTGTGACTTTGGTTCCTCTAGAGAACCCGGGCTTACATAATGTTACATTATTTATTATGTAGTGTTGCACTACCACATCTTAGTATTAAGAGGAGCCGGATATTTGTTTCCCTAAGTTGTCACAGAGTGGCATTTCTCATTTTACCACTTTGAAGTGTGCACATGCGGTAGGAAAAAGGCACAGTGGCATTTGCCTGAGTCCACATTTGCGTGTGCCTTTCCTAAACTAGTCGAAAGAGTCTTAGAGTTGCTCCTATCCCCCCAAACCTTCAAAGAGGAAAAGACTACTTGCTCAATGTGGAGGGCATTATCTGAAAAGAGAATCCAGGAAAAGGGAAAGTTCAGTAGTAGGATGGCTCTTACATCACTCATTTGCAGAGAATTGGCCTTGGCCAGGACAACTTCTGGAGTGTCAACAATGCAAGTGAACTTCAAAGCTTCCGGTCGGGTTCTATAGAGCCTTTCGTTAAGGAGATCTTGAGCACCCTTCACCCTGGTCATTTCTACGGAGCCTTCTGGCATCCAGCCAATGCCACGCAGCCACTCCAAGTCTGCTTTATACACATTCTGCAATCAAGTTAGACAACAACGTTGTTTCAAATGCTGGACACACCATTCCCTTGTTGAAAATAAAGTACATGAAGTCAAGAGGATGATAAGCACAGGAGATGGCATTTCCAAAAATATAAGACCCGATATCTTACATGGTTCAGGGGCTTACATAAGGATAACAGAAGTGATTTGTCAAAGTATAATTATTAAAACTAAGCATGATTAATAATAAGTAGTAATAATTCTTGGGGCTGGCAGGTAGCATGGTGATTAAGGGTGCCAGACTCCCACATGGCTGACTGGTTCGAGTCCCAGACTGGGCAGCTTGCTTTCTCACTTTCCCTCTCTCTCTCTCACTCTGTCCCTCTTTAGTCAAATTAAAAATAAATAAAGTTAAATAAAATAATTCTTAAAAATAGTAATAATTCTTAATTCTATGGTATACTTATTTGGTATTTTTAAATTATATAATTGAAAAATACATATATAATTGGGAATTTTTGTGGAATCTCATCCCATTTTAATCCTGTAGTAACTGACCCAAGGAAATTTTGTTTAGTGTTTTGGATCTAGTATAATAGCAGTGATTACTTTTAAAAGAGTCAGGTGATTCATGTATGTCTGAAATATATTTTCATCAACTGAAATAACAAATGGGATAAAAAAAAATAATTTGGAATCTGAGCCAGGGCATAAAGGATACAATCTCTATAGGGCTATTTATTATCACTTCTTATTTCTCAAGACAAAACTCCTCAATACAGGGTTTGTATTGAATAATGTGAATAGCACCTCCTCTGGGTTTGTGCAGTGTGCAGCCTATGGGTGTGTCCACAGAGGCACTGACTGGGCAGTTAGCACATGCCTGTCTTCCCACTCCCCCGCCCTGAAGTTCACGTTACGTACATCACTCTGCAGGTCATAGGCCTTCCGTGCTTGAATGACATCGTTCTGATCAGGTAAGCACGTCCAATGATGCAAGTAATTGCGATAATCAACATCACTGACGAGAGTCTGGCACTTCTTGGCCAGCACCAACCCCAGCATGTCCACTGGGCTGCTGAACTTGGTCTTCCACTTCTGGAAGTCCTTCTTGTACTCCCGCTCGCTCTGGATCTTCCCTGCATGGATGGCACACATGATCCTGGGGTCATCCTCAACGCTCTGGGCTCCAATGTGGTGGCCTTTCTGTTTCTCATAGGCTTCCTTGTATTTGTACTAGAAAACAAGACATCCGGCTTAGACTGGGCTTGTGCTGATCACTACAGACAACAAGACATGGATAAGGATTTCACATGAAAGACATTCTGGCATCTTTGAACAATTTACTGTTTGAAGCTTTCATAAAAAGAACGGTAGTGTAATCATAGATCTTCATCAGCAGAATCTTTCCCAGCAAAAACTAACCACAATTCCAAAGCACATTTTTTTCTCTCTGTTACAGCCAAGGGGAAGGTTTTGGAAGGTAGGAAGCAGGACTGGGGGAGTACGTATGGGAGCAACTACAAAGTCTGGTCCATCAGCCACACCATGGCTTGTCTGCACCTGGAGACCAAGGGGCATTAGATGCAAGATACGCACATCGCTGGCGATGTCCCTAGAGGCCTTGGCACTTTTGATGGGAATAGCGTCTTCCCTCAGGTCATAGTCCTTCATCTTTGATTCATCCCATCCCTTGGTGTAAAGTTTCTAGGAGGAGGATAATAGGTAACAGATAAAAGTGTTTTAGAAAGTCAACAAGCCAATTCTGGAAAGCAAATTAAGGTAGAAAAATATTTCAACTACTCCTAGAAAGGCTTATGTGACAATCAGGACAGCTCTTACTTGGCTGATATTGGCAGAATTGCTCTTGGCTAGCAGAATTTCTGGGGTATCTGGCATCACATGGATGGAGGTTTTGTCAGCATCCCAGGCTTCTGTGTATAAATGCTACAGGGAAAGGTATAAAACCTTTTGTTAAAGCCAATGACATGAGTGTTAATATCAAGCTTAACCCCCACTTAACTATCAAATAGTTTATTTTAAATCTACTTGGAAGTGAAGAAAGCAAAAGCGTAAGAAGGAGAGTAAAGCATGGCAATATTTAACCTTCTCCAGTGGTTTTATAATTAATAGGAAGCAATAGAATGATCTCAAATACTAATTCTTTCATCCAGTGAATCATGAGTGTGCTCACAGGCTCTCCAAAAATGGAGGTCATAGAACTAAAAGAAAAAAAAAAAAGTCCAACTCCACCATTTCTAAGCCATGTGACCTTGAAAGGGTCACGCAACTCTTCACATTTCTCTTTTCTAGGAAGGGAATAACTACGATTTTTTAGAAGTAACTTTTGAAGATTCACCATAGCATATGCAAAGTGCCCGAGTCATAGCAGGGGCTCAATGATTTTCACAGTGTTTCTTATTGTTTTAATCATTGTGGTTGCTGTTGATGGGTGAGGTATAAAACAGAACTTACAGAATTTTATACCCTGAACTCTGTGATTTATTACCTAAGAGCCAACTACATTCTGCAATGAGCACTCAATCCTACTACCCAAATGATTAAAAGATGTCCAGGAAGTTGTGGAAGAATTCAGTTTCATTTAATCTAAAATATGTCTATTAAGTGCCTCCCTATTGGGTAAAGAATAAACAGATAGATAGAACTCCAAAGAACAGAAATGAATATCTATTTTGTGTAATAAAACAAAAGTTGCAGTAATAGCAACTTGCTTTCAGAACTGGTCTTCCACCCCTTAAGGTGAAAGAGCAAACCAAACTGATGTGAATGTGTGGTGGTGCTGCTGAGAAACACGGCGGCTCCCAGCCTTCCAAGCAAAACGCTGAATGGCTCCTATTTCTCACACATAGATGAAGAGATGCCAGTGACCTGAGTTGGTTCTGTCCAGGAGTCGCAGGGAAAGTAAGGTATTTGTGATGTTCCATCCATGGCTCAGAGGGTCTGAGCATTATTCCAGATCAATTACCCCAGGGCACAGCACACTCCCTTATATACACACAGAGCTAAGGACCAGTGTTGAGAAGCACATATAGAGCTGCTGGAATTCTAGCAGAGACTCTGTAGAAGGCTGGCATGGGAAGCAGGCCCACTGCATCTCCTTTTTCTGGGAGCCCTGAGAGCATTTGCTATTTGAAGAGCGAAATCCCTACAAAGTATGACTTGAGCGATAGGAAACAGCTGGGACTTACCTTGCTCATTGTCAGGGCATTATTCTTTGCCAGGACTATTTCTGGAGTATCTGTAATGCATGTGAATTTGAGCTGGTCTGCAGGCTGGCGGTACTTCCTGTCACTCAGGATTTCTCCTGCTCTCTTCACCTTCTCCACCTCTACAGAGCCAATGGGGACCCATCCAATGCCCCTCAGCCACTCAAGATCAGCTTTGTAAATAGCCTGAAATTAAAAGATGTCAAGTATTTATAGATATTACAAACACTGCCTGCTGCCTGGCCTTGATTAATATCTACGACTGATGTGTAATTCTGAAAATCTTTGTTGCATAAGTTTCTGGAAAGACTCACAGGATCACCTTATTTTGGCTTAGAATGGTTAGTGAATGCTTTGTTTCCAAAGGTAGCCAATATTTGGGGTTTTAAAGACTCATAGCATCTTTTTACTAATATGCAATTTTAATGACACAAAACCGCTTGAAGGAAATTACTGCCAGAAGCAGTGTTTGTTCTGACCTGACTGCCAGTGTCTCGTGTGGGGACAACACTCTACATAGCCACTGGAGGGGTATGTAGAAGGGACACGTATGTTATCACGAGCGGTGCAGATCTCTCAAAATACGTCCATCACTTGAGACTAAAATAGTTACCACACCCATGACTAGACCTTTCTACTTAATGTGTTAGTGTAAAAGAGTATATATTACCACATCACAGATTTGGTTCAATATTTTCATAACCGTATTTTGATAATTAGCTTCTTTTGAAACCAATATTGATATTTGTTTCATTTTATGTATTTTATGACGTACTAAGGTGCCCATCAGTCTCACTAGACTGCCAAAAGTCACCATGGCAACATACGTTAGAACCCATTTTTCTTTAAATTGCCAGAGTGTGTGAGTGCTTGTCAGAGAGAGAGAAAGGGAGAGGTAGAGAGCATCTCACTCGGGGTGTGGTGATGCTGCAATACCTTCTCCTCCATTTTTTCCATCCCGTTGGGATTTGGGCCATGCACGCATACCGTCTGGGGCCAGGATTCCAACCACGATTGCCATGGAATTCAGTTCCATTAACTACTAGGCTACACGGTTGGCCCTACAAAGCCTTTTTAGAAATGAGGATGAAGAAGATTATGAGACCCACTCACATCACTCTGCAGGTCATAGGCCTTCCGAGCCTGAATGACATCATTCTGATCGGGCAGGCAGGTCCATTCATGAAGGGGATGCTTGTAGTCTATGTCGCTTACGAGGATCTGGCACTTCTTGGCCAGCACCACCCCCAGCATGTCCACCGGGCTGCTGAACTTGGTCTTCCACTTCTCAAAGTCCTTCTTGTACTCCCTGTCACTCTGGATCTTGGCCACGTGGATGGACCACATCATCTTGGGGTCGTCCTTAATGTTCCGGGCCCCGATGTGGTGGCCCAGCTGCTTGCGGTAGCCTTCCTTGTACTTGTACTGAAGAAAGAAAATGGATGTGAGTCTAACAAGGAGAACACTGTACCCATCTCACCTTTCACAGTCTCACACACACGTACTTTCTTTGTAATGTTACCACCACCATCATGAGACAGAAAGGAATCTTGCGCCCATTTTATGAAATGGGAAACTGAAGTCTAGAAAGATTAGTGATTTGTCCAGGGTTGCCCTTCAAGTAGTAGGTGACAGGGCTCAGTGTAGAATGGAGAGCCTCGGGTCCCTAATTTTTCCTGCCTCTACTAAATGACACCACCTCGTTTCCATTTGATTGCTGAACAAGTGAAAGGAAAATATGTATAATCAAATGGAGCAGCTACTTAAAGATAGGGGCATTTTCTTTTCAAATGCTTTAATACTGAGACTTTTTTAAGACTATATATACCTTGTTTTTAGAGTTTACAGTGAATTCTCTGGCCAAGGAGAGGTGTTACATTTAGATAGAGTTTATGTGTCGTGGGAAACAGTGCCTTAATAGCCTATCAATGTCAATGAACTGTCATCATGAGAGAGTCAAGACTTTCTGCTTTTGAAACTTGGCAATGACACGTTACGGTCCATTCTGCCATGAGATAACCATAGTGTGGGGTTCTGCAGTTCAATAGTTGGAAGAAGCTTTGGAAATGAAAGGAATGAAGCATAGGTCTAAAGCCTGGGGCCCTTCTGAAGAAGGAAAGTCTGGATTTGGATACAAATTGAGGACACTTGATCACCCTCAGGAGTTGTTCTCAAGGGGAGAGAAGGAATAGAGAAAGGAGGCAAGTGGGTGCTGAGATAAAGCTGTTTACTTCATAGTCTGTGCTTGTACCCACTACGGGGCACCTAGGAAGAGAACCTCAGTGACAATGAGAAAGGACGGAGCAGAACTCCACATGGAATCCATCATCTAGCCCTTCTGGTGGCAGAATGGATGAAAGGAACAGAAAAGAGTTTATATTTGTATTGGCTGATTTACATTTGCTACCAATCTCTTTAATTTTGCAAATATCTGAGTCAACTACTGCTCAAATTCTGAGGCTCGAAAATGGGAACTCACTTTTCCTGTCCATTAGACACTTTAAAAAAGAGAGACTATGTCAGGCTTTGGCTGATGAATGGGTTCACGGGTAAAGTATTTTGTGCTCTTCCTTTTTCTTTTGTAACTTTGTAGATGGAGGAAATCACTGAAGGGGATTGAGACTCATAGGAACAACTAGACATCTGGCAAGGAAGGCTCTGAAAGCTGCCATTTGCCAATGTCTTGGAGTCCGAAAAGCCTCTTTCAAAAACGTCAACTTACATCACTAGCAATATCTCTTGAAGCCTTGGCTGCTTGGATTGGAATGGCATCCAGACGCAGGTCATAACCTTCCTTCTTAGACTCTTCCAAAGCAAGTTTATAAAGTTTCTGGAGAAAAGAGAGCCATTAGTCACCCACCCTTTCATTAAAATAGTTGCACAATTAATTTTTCTCTGTCCTTGTTTGAACTACTGAAACTAATCCACAAAGTCAAGTTTTAGAGTGAGCATTGATAACTTGGCTTCATCCCATATGTGCTTGTGGACTTAAAGGCACATGCTTTAAATTTGGGGGGATTTCGCTGACTAGTTTATTTCAAAAAACTATTTGGGAAAATCAGCATTCAGTTGCCAACATTATATTTTACTAAACAAATCCACAAATAAACAGCTGTTTACCATCAGAATCGTGACAGAAAAGACATCTTACTACTAAAGAAGAATGAATAGGTCAGTATTTACAGATTAAATATATCGGGCTTTATGAAAAACTCAATGTATTCTCCTTATTTTTTTTCTTCATTTTGCTATAGGTCATGATAAATGCATCCTAGGGTTTTGAAATGATCACCCTTACAAAAATGTTAGTTTCAACAAAAATGCTTACTAACATTAAATGATAACCAGAGCATATTGAAGCAGAAAAAAATTATAGAGCATGCTAACTTACTGGGTTCCAACCTAGTGCCTACTTTCCAATGAATTGTGAATAAAATAAGGACTTGCTATCCATACTAAGCTTAATTTCTATGGGCTATTTCTCCATAAGTATTCTGTTCACTCTTAACAAAAGGCTAGCCTACTTGTGGACCTAACACATAGCCCAAAATTGAACCAAAGCGTTTGGAGTATTTTGATGAATTAGTGAAAATATTTTACTAAGAAAATGATTATAGTTCATTTTTGCTTCTTCTCTGTTACAAGATCAACAATGCACTTACATCACTATAGTTGATTCGGTTGAGTTTGGCTAGCATGATTTCTGGTGTATCAGGCATGACATGGATTGTTTTCTTGTCATTTTCCCAGGCTTCAGTATATAAGCGCTATATTTTGGAAAAAAATGAGAAAAATAATATTGGAGTTCACGTTTTATCATTTTTCTTTTGATTATATGCTAGTTATCTGACCTCTAAAAAACAGAAATAAAATGATTAAAGCTGCATAAATTCCTACCTTGTTTCTAATTAACATTCTTTAACATTTCTGCTAAAGTTTAATTGGGTGGCAGTGTTTAAGATCTGTCTAGATAAAACTATAAAATAATTACAGCACATAGTGTTTCTAACATCAGTTTGATATTTTCAAACAATCACTAAGTTAACTATGTATTAGAATAAAATAATCTTTGAAAAGGTACTACAAATCTCACAGAAACCTTTAAAATGTAGTAATAAGTCAGAATTTTTACTTCGTTTTAGGGTAAATTCCAATACATGCTGGTGAGGGTTACAGACTCACCTTATTCATGTTGATAGCGTTGTTCTTTGCCAGCACCTGCTCCAGCGAGTCAGTTATACTGGTAAATTTCAGTGTGTCTGGACGCTGACGGTAAATGTTATCACTCAGTATCTCTGTGGCCCTTTTGGCTTTAACAACTTCCAAGGAACCGATCGGAACCCAACCAATGCCTCTCATCCATTCAAGGTCTGCCTTATACAAATTCTGCAGAATAACATAGAAGAAACACACTGATGAACTACTGATTAGTTCTTCAAAGTCATAGTTGCAAATGGGTCACCTAAATTAGAGGAATAAAAAAGTATTGTTGAACAGATAAAGCTCCCTGCATAGTTGATCACTCATTTCTAAGTACTATTAACCCCGGAGCATATTTTTTCCCCTAAGCATCTTTTTTTTTCATACAGAAAATTGTACCAAGAATGTCAAAAAATAATTTTTTAAGCAAAAGACACAGTCTTACCTTTAAGGGTATTACAAGATTGTTTTCACCAATGCAGTGTTTCTTTAGTCTTGGAAAATGTGCTCAAATAGCTTCAAAAATAAAACAAAAGCCCCTACAGGCTGAGACCAGCAGTAAGTGGATGGGTGCCACAGTTACAAACCTCTTGCCTTTATCTTCACAAAATAGCAAGTGTGTAAAGAAAATGCAGTTTGGCAAAGACATGCTAGATAATTCCCTAATTGGGCATTTTATTTTACTCTCAATAGGGCATGGTAAATGTTAATAAGTATGAGATGATTGGTTTTGAAAAAGATAAGAGAATTTTTCTGTCAGTAAGTATAGAATGCTAAATGTTTTTAAAAGTAATTCAGCAAAATACACTTTTCTTCCCATTTTCTCCATACTACATTCTGCTGACACACATTTCTACTTCTTTAGCTGAAAGTTGATAGTGATCTTTTTTCTTTTCTCTTTTTTTAAGGTTTTTGGCATAGGGCATGTGTACTAGCTGGAGAGAGACAGAGAGAAAAAGCTCCCTCTGTGAGAGAACATCCCCGGGGGGATGGCCACACTGCAATCTCTTCTCCTCCACTCTTCTCCTGGGATTTTGGGCCCACATGCACATGCACAGACAGCGTGATTTTCAAGCTGCTGGGGCTAGGACTTGAACTGTGGTCAGCCATGTGGGAGTACAGTACCGTGACTATGCCTCCTGCTGACCACAGTAGTGATATATTTTGGGGCCTCTGTTTTGTCTAATTCAGAGAAAGAGAACCTGAATCACTAAGAAGGTATATATAACTGTATAAAAGGTAATTTGTGCTTTTTCTTCTTTTACAGGCAACTTTTGGGGAAGAAAGCAAAGTGTAAAGCGAACCAAATTGTAAAGCGAACCGAAGTTTTCCCAATGACAAACTCCTTTCAGACATCCCATCATGCACCATTGAGAATAGACATCAGCAGTAGTCCAAATCCCTGAAGACTTTTCACATCTGCTTTTAACAGTTGGAGCCAACCCGAAAGATACTCACATCGCTCTGGAGGTCGTAAGCTTTCCGTGCCTGAATGACATCATTCTGGTCGGGCAGGCAGGTCCATTCGTGCAGAAGATGTTTATAGTCCACATCGCTCACCAAGGTCTGACATTTCTTGGCCAAAACAATACCAAGCATGTCCACCGGGCTGCTGTACCTTGTCTTATATTTCTCAAATTCTTTCTTGTATTCGCGGTCACTCTGCACCTTGGCGATGTGGAGGGACCACATCATCTTGGGGTCATCATGGATTGCTCGGGCGCCAATGTGGTGGCCCAACTGCTTGCGATAAGCTTCTTTGTATTTGTACTGAAAGAAAGAGCCCAATAGATCAGGAGGGGGGCCCAAGAGTGATTTCCTGCCATTCTTTCTGTGGCGATGCTTTCTGTGAAATCTCTGAGACAATAGGCGAGTTTCGTCAGGCAGGATCTATCTCTGCCCACCAGAGCAGGCTTCTCCCCAAGAAGAGGGTGCTGTGCTGATTGGCACACCTCCGTAGAATAACACCTCACGATTCCTTTATATTTGCTGGAGAACTCTATGTTGGCAAGCAGTGACAAAAGTGAACTTTGAAAAGGCAAGCCCAGTGACAGTGCTAGACTATGGCAGTGTCTCAGACGTTCATCACGTGATTTAGTTCATCTGCGAGTACAACTGGGTTGTGTGTTTACATGGTACATTACAACTTTTTTTTTTTTTTTTTTTTGCCATAGAGATGTGCGCTCACCAGAGAGGAGAGAGAGAGAAAGTTAGAAATCACCCTTCAGAGGAGATGGCCACACCACAATCTCTTCTTTTCCATTATCCTCTAGGATTTTGGGCACACATACATGCCCAGCATGAGTTTCAAGCCAATAGATCTGGGACTTGAACTGCAATCAGTCTTCTGGGAATCTAGTGACCTTAATGACCATGCCACCTGCTGGCCCCACGATTCTTTTCTATGGTATTCTGAGAAATAATTTTCTCTTCACAAATAATCTGGGAGAGGTAGTTTGAAAGTAGACAGTTTGTGGGGCCAGCAGGTGGCATGGCAGCTAAGGCATTGAACTCCCACATGTCCAACTGCCAACATGACAGCTTGGTTTCTTTCTTTCTCTGTCTCACTTTGGTGTGCATGCCTTACAGCAAATTAAAACAAAACGAAACAAAACAAACAAACAATAATAAGGGGCCAGCAGATGGCATAGTTCTTACATATCATTGGACTCCCACATGGCTGACTGCAGTCCTAATCCTGGATCCAGTGGCTTGAAACTCATGCTGGGCACATGTGCATGTGTGCCCAATATTCCAGGAAGAGAATGGAGAAGGGATTATGGTGTGGCCATCCCCTCTAGGGGGTGATTTCTCACTTTCCCTTTCACTGTCTCTCTTTCTTCCAGTGAGTGCACATGCCCTAAGGCAAAAATATTTACCAAAAAAACCCCCAGAAAAATAATAATTATAATAAATGGAATTAAAGAAATCATTCTTTTAAAAATGGACAATTTGTGTTGTTTAATGGATACAGCGTTTCTGGTTTGCAAGATGAAAAGGTTCTGGAAATCTGTTGCACAAAATGTGAATACATTTGACACTACTGAACTGTACACTTGAAAATGGTTAAGGTGATAACTTTTGCATTGCATACTTTTTACCACAATTTTAAAAAAATGTAAAGCCCACTAGATCAGACAATTTTACTACTCTCGGATTCATTTTTAAGATGTCCAGGAATCTGATGTCCTCATGTTAGGGCAAAGAAATATCTGTTCTGTGAATCCCATGGCAAGGAGACTTTCAGGTGTTTTGCTATCCTATGTCCTCCCTCAAGTAATGGGAGAGGACGCAGACAAGCCGCTTCTTTTCTGGCATCTTTGCCTGGAGTGCATGCCAAGGAGAACCATGAGGTTTTATGAGTAGCTTAATATATGTCCCTCTGACTGGAATTGAGGCACTCACTCCTATTAAGCAAAGACCAAGTGACAGGCGTCAAAGGCACCACACTCCAGTCTCGGGGTTGCCTCTGATGATACCTGTGGTCTCTAGCCAGTTCCCTGCTGTCGTCCTTTGTTCGCCTATGCAGGGAAGGGAGTTAGGGAGGATGATGACTAAAGTGGCTTCAAGCCATCGGCTGGCCTGATGGGGATGCGCCACAGGCCGGCGGGTCACTTACATCACTGGCAATATCTCGGGAGGCCTTGGCAGCCACAATGGGGATGGCATCGCTTCTCAGGTCATAGCCTTCTTTCTTGGCTTCCTCCATGGCTTGGCGATAGAGGCTCTGCCAAAAGAAGTGGTAACTTTTAGATACGGAGCTCACATTCACTCTAAAAACGTATTTTTGTCTAAGGAAGACTGCTTTGGATGCTGAACTGCACTGGTATTTTCAGTTTTCTCCTTCTGTTTTTGTCCTTTTATTTGAGCTGTTTGTTTAAATGTAAGTTTTATAACTGAGCACATTTTAACATTATCACAACTGCTTTTTGCAGAAATCCTCACGTGTTTTGTGTATTAAATTAATAGCTCTTTAATGTGTTGAGTAATTTAGCACTGGCTCTCTTTGTGAAACAACCAGGAAATGCTTTAATTAACTCCAAATTTGAATTAGGACCAAATTCACGAGCAGAGAATATGTAACAGTAATAGTGCCAGATGAGCATGTGCTCATAATCAAACAGGGCTAAATCAAGGGTGACCCACTCTTGCTGAAATTCACTAGTAATATTGATTTTCCCCCAGTTTTTCATTTGCCAGCTCCTGGTAATTGTTAGCAGATGTGGAGATAGCAGATGCCAAAGACAGCAGGGACTCAAAGACATATGAATCAGAAACACAAAACGGGTAAGATTCTTTGCTCATTTTTCCTGGGAATTGAGAAAACCCCACACTGTTCCGTTTCTATGGCAAGACCTGCACACAGAAGGAAAACACAGGTGTTCCAGGAGTGTAGTTTGGGAACCATACGTTACACAAATCCTTTTTACCATCAGTCTTTAGCCCTTTCTGTTCATAAGTCACTTACAAGAATTTTGACCAATTCTTGGGCAGCTGCAGATGGCGCAGTGGGTAAGACACTGGACTCCCACATGGCTCATCATGATTCGAATCCTAGATCCAGCGGCTTGGAAGTCATGCCAGGGGCAAGTGTGTACATTCCCAACATCCCAAGAAGAGAAAGAAGAAGGGATTGTGATGTGGCTATCTCCCCGGGAGATGATTTCTTACTTTCCCTCTCTCTGTCTCTGTCTCTCTCTGGTAAGTACATAAGCTCTATGACAAAAAAACTAAAAAAAAGAATTTTGACCAATTCTGTATCATCTTAAAATAATATTTAAAATAATTGCTAATGTTCTAATGTTGGTATTTAATAAATCAAAACAAAATGTGCATTATAACAATTTTAAATATAAAACTAAGAAATTATTGGATCTCTTAATGATATTGTTGTTACTTGTAGGAACTCATGATGCCTTGATTGAAAAAGACTTTGATGGATACTAATGAATTAAATCAGCGCTGTTTGGCACAGTTTTGTTTTCATACCCTCAGGTATGCAAAACTACCGAACCAGTAACTACTGAGACAGGTTTGCCTTTCTTTTTCTTAAAATAGAATCTTTATGTAATCATCAAAAAATTTAGTGTATATGTTTTCTTTCTTTTAGCTTTTACAAGTAAGAATATATGACCAAAAAAGTTCATGACTTTTTTTTTTTTTTTTTTCAGATTTTTGCTATAGGGTGAATGCACTTACTAGAAAAACAGAGAGAGATGGAAAGTGAGAATTCACCTCCCCCTGGGGGAATGCCCACACCACAATTCCTTTTCCTCCACTTTCCTCCTGGGATGGTGAGTACACTTGTACGTGGGCCCAGGGTGTTTTTTAAGCTACCAGGTCTGGAACTTAACTATGCAGTAGACCATGTGTGACCTAGTGTCTTAACCACCATGCCACCACTGACCCTGTTTTCATATTTTAATATGTTTATTCTCCTTATGTTGAACATTTTTGAACCTATTGAAAAGTTGCAAGAATGGTACAATGAAGACCCAATTACTCACTGATTATTTTTTCCCATATTTCTTTCTCTTATGTATATGTATACTATGTATATTTCTTTCTTTGTCTTATTTTCAATTTTTCAATTAAGAGAAAATTGTAGGACTAGTAGGTGGCATGGTTAAAGCACTGGACTCCCAGAACCAGCAGCTTAGTTTCTCACTTTTCCTCTCTCTCTCTCTCTCTCTGGTGAGTGCACATACTCTACAGCAAGTTAAAAATAACAGTGATGGGACCAGCAGGTGGCATGGTGGTTAAGGTGCTGAACATTCCCACATGGCTAACCGCAGTTCAAGTCCTGGAACTGATGGTTTGCTTTCTCACTTTCACTCTCTCTCTCTCTGTCTCTCTTTGACCTAATTAAAATGAGTGAATGAATGAATAAAATTAAATAAGTGATTCTTTAATTAAAAAAACCTGTGATAATAAATAAAGTTAAATAAATAATTCTTAAAAATAAAACAAGAAAAATTGTAGACATTATGACCTATGCCCCTAAATGCTTTACCATGTATTTCCTAAGAATAAAGATATTTTACATACCTCAACTCTATTTATTAAATTCAGAAAAGTTAACGTTGACACAATATTATTATATAATACAATTATCTTTTGTTGTTTAATATAAGGGGGGTCTCCAAAAAGTTCATGGAAAATATATAATATGAAAAAAATTATTCATGGATTGCAAGATTCTTTGGTAGCAAAATAAACTCATACACTAATTCCATTTTTCACCAATATTCAAATTTCACCATTTGTTCCAACAATGTCCTTTATGACAATATAGTTTTTCTTATTTTAAAGTTCCTTTTTCTTTATTCCTTGAGAGAGAGACCAGCAGACAGACACCCCTTACAACGTCTTGACATGCCATGATCCTCTCCTTCCACTTCTCCTGGCCATCAGCAATGTAGCCTTGCTACCCAGAATTCAGTTCAAGAGTCTGAGTGGCATGCTGTTGTATAGTTTCATTTTTTGTTAACTACCCAAGGGTATATAAACTCAAGGAGGGTTTTAACTACCTAAGGGCATATAACCTCAAGGGGGGGGGCGTGAGCCCACCCAATAAGGCATAATCTTGATTTCTCTCTCCATTCAGGGTTTTAGGCATGCACACACAAGTGCCCAGCATGTTTTTTTTTTCCACGCCACCAGAACCGGGACTTGAATCATAGTCAGCCCTGTAGGATGGCTCTCAATGCGTGTTCCACCACTGCACTACAGGGCCAGGCCTAGTTGTCTAGTTTCTTTGCTCACCTTTAAACTGTGCCTTTCTTGTTCTAAACTGAAAGAAGAGTAACTATGAAAGAGGTAGAAGAATGCCACTTACGCTGCAGGGTATTCTCAGGCAGATAATTTAAAGCACACATATGAAAGTCGAGCTCCTTTTACTAATTTGCTTAAAACCACCCATACCAGATTACCCCCTGGAAAGCCTCTGTACAACATCATATGAAGCTGAGGTTTGAAGGCAGTTAATCTTCCTCCTTAAATCGCTCTATTATCAGATAACTTAATCCTTAATTCTAGTTTCTTCCCTTCCTCCATTAAGAGTTATTGAGGGGCCAGCAGGTGATGTGGTGGTCAAGGGCACTGGACTCCCATGTGGCTGACCGAGGTTCAAGTCCCGGACCTGGTGGCTTGCTTTCTCACTTTCTCTCTCTTTCTCTATCTCTGGTCAAATGAATAATAATAATAATAATAAATAAAGAGTTATTGAATTGGATAAGGGAGACATAGTACCTACTAGGTATTTCTGGAAAATGATTTAGAGATCGCTTATGGTTTTTGTTTTGTTTTGTTTTGTTATGAGATCACTTATGGTTTTAAGGAAAAAACAATTATCTACAATTCTTTAGGGCTTTCTCTTTTTATTTATATTGTCTAGTGTACTTTTAACTGTTGAGGCTTATCTAAAAGCAAATATTAAATGTAAGAAAGCACTTAAAAAGTATGACAGAAATACTTAAAACTAACTTTATCATTATTATGCCCCATTCTCAAATTAGATTGAATTAAGAATACTGGAAGAGGGGGGCCAGCAGGTGGTGTGATGGTTAAAGGCACTGGATTCCCAGTTTGAGTCCCAGACCTGGTGGCTTGCTTTGTCATTTTTTCCCCCTCTCTCTGTTCTCTCTCTGGTGAGCATATATGCCCTATAACAAATTAAAATAATGATAATGATAAATAAAATTAAATAATTATTTCCAAAAAGAATACTGCAAGAGTATCTGGACTTTATTTATTTATTTATTTTAGAGAGAGATTTTTCAGTGTAAGGTGCATGCACTCGCCCGAGAGAGATGGAGAGACAGAAAGCAAGAAATCATCCCCCAGGGGAGATGGTCACACTGCAATCCCTTCCCCATTCTTCTCTCAGGATTTTGGGCTTGCACACGTGTGTGCATGCACACACACACACAGACACGCCTGGTGTGTGTTTGAAGCCACTGGGCCTGGAATTCAAACCTCGTTCAACTATGTGGTAGTACAGAGATGTAACCATTTCGCCATCTGCTGGTCCCAAGTATCTGGATTTTAAATCCAATGCAAAGGCACTTAGTTTTTCAACAACTTGAGATTCATAGAGGTATATTGTTGTATGTTTATAATGTGAGTTACTATGACAGATTACATTATATTCACGATGAGATTTTACAAGGAAAACCTCAAGTAAAAATAAGTTTAATATCTTTGAGATAAAATCCAGTGGGCATTTGTTTTTCTTAAGAATTTCAAGAAATGTTTATTTTGCAATTTGAGAATCAAATACTTCCATCTTTTATATTTTTCCTTTGAAAAACAAATGTTCAAATTTTTCCTTGTTAGTATAAGTAGGAAAAATGTGCTTGAATCATCTTACAGCTTCAGGCCAAACAAAGAGATTTAATCGTCCCCACATTTGAAAAAGATGCAGCATTTCAAAGAAGAAATGCTTTAAGTTATCACCAAAGCTACTTTTAAAGCATGTTAGACAAGTTATACACACAAGAGAACTAGAATAGGTAAATGAGAATTTTAGAGAAAAATGAAGATGGGGGCGAGTCCTCCAGCATAGTGGGTTAGCCCCTGTGCATGTGGAGCCACATTACTGACCACAGTTTGAATCCTGGCCCCACGGGCTTCAAAAACACACTGGGTGCATGTATGCAAATCCCCAAATCCTGGAGGGATGGAGAAATGAAAGAAAAAGAATTGAGGCATGACTGCATCCTATTGGGGAAGAGGTGCTTTCTTTCTCTCTGCCAGGTGCACATACGCTCTGGCAATTAATTAATTAAACAATACAATTATTTTTCACAATTTTGGAGTAAAGTATGAAATAAAGATTTTACTGCTAATGGTTTGGGAAAAAAATTCGATGTTGTCATTCTGAAATCTAACCTTCACCAGACTGTCCATAGGGAATGAACAAGATCATATATTGTAATTGCAAAGAAAGCAAATCCAGTTAAGGGGTTTCGAATTTTAAAATAGCCCGATTTCTTTTTAGACATCTGGAAAAAAAATGATCTCATCTCACCTAATATAAACAAAGAAGAGCTTTAAGAGTTTTATTATGATCTGGAAAAGAAACTAACTTCATCTTCCTTTGGTAAGCTAAACCTTCTGGGAGAAGTTGATGCATCAGGGCTCTGTGGCCAAGAGAACACTGCTCTTTCAAAGGTGACTCAAGTCGAGGCCAATCAACTATTCAGACAGAGCTTGTCCTTGGGACTAACTTGTAATGCTGGTGACAGTGAATCATATCCTCTTGTTATTCCTCATGGTTATTTGATATGTGTGCTTCCTCTTCAGGGCTATATTGTAGGCAAAAGTAACTAATACGGGGACAATTGCAAATTTGCTCAAGTCTTGAAAATGAGTACTTAAATTTTCCATGGTTCTCACACTGCAGAAAAATCTGCCCTTTTATTTATTTTTTAAATGAAGACACACAAACATGTAAGAAATCAGCATTCTTCTTGAATCTACCACATAAATTCTTGACTTTGGCGAGAGCAATTGAGTGAGAAACTATTTATGCAGCAGTATTTCTACACTGCAAAGATATGTGATGACACGTTTAGGGAGGCTAGAGAGAGTTTATGAAAGAATGCATTTATTGTCCTCAGGCAATTTTTGAAATGGATGAATTTAAGAATTCTCATTTCACTTCTCGTAAATAAACCTCAAGTTATTTTGAGGACATTAAATGAATCTATTTTTCATGGAGACTTGAGTGTAAATAAAGAGAAAAAAAATACACATTTATTAAACAATTATTTTGTGCCAGGTTCCACACTGGTTATATTTTATATTTTAACCTCATTTAGTCATATCCGCTTTTTTTTTAAGATAGGCATTTTAATCCTATTTTACAGAAAAGGTCATTGAAGAAAGTGAATTCATAAAACAAATTTTGATGCAAGAATTGGATAAATAGCCATCATCATTTCTATTTAAAATTACAATATATTTTTGTCATTAATAGTTTGAGGATTTTCTCCCTCCTAACATACAGTTTTTTTAAAATCTTTTTATCTAGCTTTCTCATTACCTATTTTTAAAAATACAATGATATGTATAATCAAGGTTGGACAATGGGCATTAAAGAAATAAAACTAAGATAACTGGCCTATAGGAGGGTTGAATCCATAATCCTGGCCTAACTACATCAGAAAAGACCAATGTGACCACATCAAGGTAATAAATAAATGGTCTTACCTCGCTGTAATTTATTTTATTTTGTCTTGCCAACATAATTTCAGGCGTATCAGGCATAATGTGGACTTGGGTCTTATCTTTGTCCCAGGCTTCTGTGTATAAGCGCTGTGAAGGATAAAAGGATTGATGAATTATAAAAATGAAGTTTGCTGTAAATAGGTATTTCCTTTTTTTTTTTCCATTTGTTATAGGCATGTGTGCTTGCCAGGGAGGGCCAGAGAAAGAGAGGAAGTGAGAAAGCCCCCCCCCACCCCAGGGGAGATGGCCATGCCACAGTGCTTTCTCCTCCAATCTCTTCTTTGAATTTTAGACATGCATACACATGTGCCCAGAGTGTTTTCACACCTCTGGGTCTGAGATTGAAACCACAGATTCAGCCATGTGGGAGCCAGCTGCCCAAACCACCACAACATGGACTGGCCATGTTAACACATTTTTTCACTTCTTTAAAGTTATAGATATTTATTATCAATATATATATGTATATATACATATATACATATATATTCAGATATGAAAAGAAAACATGTATATTAGATGTACACATGTGACGTGTGTGTGTATGTGTTTATTTGGTAACCAGATCACTCTCACCCTCATTAAATTACAAGTATTTCCCAAGCATATTAACAAATTCTCTCCATGGATTCATTTATTTGATGTTGTGCATTAACTTCAACTGTCTTTTTGATAAATGTTACAAAGATTGGCATTTCATTTGTTTGTCCTGTACTTACTTAGATATCTACCTAGCAAGAAAGAAACTTGGATATCTAACCATAAAACCACAGTCCTAGTCTTACCTCTGGCTATTTCACAAGAGTTGTCAAGGCAGAAATCTCCCCAGATATTTCCAGAATTTTTATGTAACTGAATAGAGACTTCAACCAAATCTTTATATATTGGTTAACAATTTAATTGCATGAAAGAAAAAAAAAAACTAACTTCATTCAGTATAGGTATTCTAAGTCGCATGCAGCCTCGATTTCTTTTCCCCCTAACTGGCGCCTCACCTTGTTCATGGTGATGGCGTTGTTCTTGGCCAGCACCTGTTCCAGAGAATCAGTCACACTGGTGAACTTCAGCTTGTCCGGAGGCTGGCGGTAGATGTTGTCGCTCAGAATCTCTGCAGCCCTCTTGCACTTGACGACATCCAGAGACCCAATGGGGACCCAGCCAATGCCTTTCAGCCACTGGAGATCTGATTTATAAATGTTCTGATAAAATCAAGCACAAAAGCAAATATTATTGAAATTGTTATGACACAATTTCAAAACTGAAAAAAAAGAGACTGGAAAACTTGGATAGTCAAACTTCATGTTTATGTCTTATGAAATATGAAGGCCAAATTGAATAAAGTTTCATGATATATTTTTCCTCTCTCTCTAAAAAAAAATGTAAAGGACAGAGTAGCATTTAAAAAACAGGTCAGAGAGAAGAAACATCATCTCTTCTGAGGGGTCTTATTCTAGGCCACTGCATAGTACCACATATTACTGTGTGAGCGTGGCTAACATGGATGTCGGGTACGCACATCACTCTGGAGGTCGTAGGCCTGGCGGGCGTGGATCACGTCATTCTGGTCGGGCAGGCAGGTCCACTGGTGCAGGTAGTTCTTGTAGTCCACGTCACTCACTAAGGCCTGACACTTCTTGGCCAGCACCACCCCCAGCATGTCCACTGGGCTGCTGAACTTGGTCTTCCACTTCTCAAAGTCCTTCTTGTACTCCCTGTCACTCTGGATCTTGGCCACGTGCATGGACCACATCATCTTGGGGTCATCTTTAATGTCTCGGGCCCCGATGTGGTGACCCAGCTGCTTGCGATAACCATCTTTGTATTTGTACTGAAATAAAAGTGGTCATTTCAAAAACAAAAAAAAAATGAAGGAGAAAAGGATTAGAAGTCTTATTTATTTAAAACCTCATTTTAAAATTGTAACTTTTGCAGAAAGTTGGGATCATCTGAATATCAACTTTTCTTCTTATCCTAAATGAGCCTCTGTTTCAGTTTCACAGAAATAATTTACTGGAAAGACCGGCCAAACTATGCAGTCCTATTTTGTGCAGAAATTAAGTCCCTAAAAATAAAGGTAGCAACACCTTCCAGAAGGTGAGGTGGTATTGTATACTGCCTTCTCTTCATCTTGGGTCAGGAAAATCATTACCCAGAAATGTTACATGTGACTTTGAGACTGTAAATTCTGAACCTGTAGTTACCATCTCATTCTGCCCACCTGAGCCACCCGTGATCCCTCCCTCTGCCCTGCTGATGTTCATAGGTAACTGACTTCCTGAAGTGACCAGATCGTGTCTGTCCTGCATCTCCTGCTCTGTTGAAGATCAAATTTGGCTGGGATCTGTTTGGAGTTTGTCAAGTGAGAAAAGGGACTGAAAATCTACAAGAGAGCATTTTGCTGGTGGGAGTAAGGGCTGACTCTGGATATTTTCTCTCTACTGGAGACAATAACATTACATAAATCCTAGCATGTATCCATGTAAATCTGAGCTCTTCACCAAAGGACCCACTTTCTTTAGACACCAAAGAAAAATCATATTTGTCATTTTGTTGATTTTGGTTGTCTTTGTCTCCTTATTCTCATTTATAATGAGCTCAAAAGGAAGCACTTAAGGTAATTTTTCAAAAAAAATATATATATAGAAGAGGTCTGGAGAAAAGTGAATTTTCCTAGAGCTGGCTGTACCAGTTCTTGAATGTTGAACTATTGCATGTAACCAAGTTATATTTTTAAAACTCTTCTGGCAACCTCTTATTTCTGTGTGGGCTACATCCTTGAAATATGGAGATGAATTTCTCATAATTGTAAATATGAAAAAATTATACTTTTGAATTCAATTTTATATTGAATTCAAGGATGCCCCTCCTCCATGAGATCTGTATATTAAAATATTTTGGAGATAAAAATATGAGTTGGTTTTTTTTTCCAAATGAAAACATTTCTTTGGCTTAGAAAAAGAACTTAGTAAATGTGCTGTATCTGGTATCTGGATACATCTTCCTGGCGCAATAATGACCCCGTCCCCCTGCCATCCATCCATCCACATAAATATCTGAGGTGCTGCTACTCACGTCACTGGCGATGTCCCTGGAGGCCTTGGCTGCCACAATCGGGATGGCGTCACTTCGCAGGTCATAGCCTTTCTTCTTGGCTTCCTCGTTGGCCAGTTTATACAGACTCTTCAGAAAGTCAAAGAGTTAAAGCAGAAGGCTTAATAGCAATCATTTAGAGATTATCAAGTGATTTATAACACGTAATTTGAAAAAGCTCAGGAACTGAAAGCAATCTGAATTTTTAACAATAGCAGAAAACAAGGAAGTTGTATCCTACCAAAAGATACTAACATAGCATTAAAAACAAAAGCAATACACCAGTAGATATTAATGTAGTTTGATACATTAATCCATTATATGATATATAGATTAATACATAGGATATGTGCATTGAAATGTATATCAATTTACATATAATCTAGTTACATAGATTGATGGGCAAAACATCAATCCATACATACTGCTAAGTAAAAAAGAAATGGCAGACTATATTATTAATTTGTACATAAAGTACTTCTATTCATTTATTACTTAAACATTTAATAACCATCATGTAGTATTTTATAGCGTTTTAAAAAGAAATCAGAAAAACTTAATGTATAACTTAAAACACAGTTAACTAATATCTCAAAGGTTCTAAATTTTGCTTTTATCATTATTCGTAAAACATGACTCTATAAAATGGTGCTTTACTTTTAAAAATCATTAATTCATGTCATTGATGGAGAAGACGTCTTGCTCCTGTCTGAGGTGTGCTTTTTATATAGGAAGCGCAATGATTTCACCTTTGTTTCTCTCTGCAGTGACTTATTGACATACCGAGGTGGCAGGGATGGCAGGGGGCACGTTCAGCTTAGCTAAGCTCTCTCCACCCCTTGGAAAGAAGCCTAGCGTCTCCCTGTTTCTTCCTCTGTACTAAGCAGGCTCCCCTCTGACGGGAGCCGCTCCAGTGCACACCTGTGCCCAGAAGCTAACACTGATGTTCAGAGAGCAGGCGCACCTGGCTTTCACACACATGTGTCCTGTAACCAAACTCTAGTGGGAAAAAGGGTACGATTTTATTTTACTTTGTTTTAGTTCCCAATTTTACACAGGACCTAGATGAGGAAGAGATACATGTTACAGAGGTCTACTTGAAAGTGCTGCCAGATTTGGCAAATGAAAACATAGAACATCCAATTGATTTGAATTTCAGATAAACAAATAATATTTCAGTATAAATATTGAGCCAGTGTTTTACCTGGCAATTCTACTCCTTGGAAAATGCCAAAAATACTCCTCACTCCCATTGGGTCACAGTGGGAATGACTATAAACCGAAAAGAGAATGTGACTCCGGGTTGTCTGTGGAATCCTATAAAATGCAATATTCAGCCCAGGGGTGAAAGTCTGGATGGGCTGAGTGTTCACATGAAAGAGCTACATGCACCATGATGGCTTAGGCCCAAGGATCTCAAAAAATTAAGGGTAGACAAATAAATGAACAACAACGAGATAAGGTGGCAGCACAGAACACGGCCCTACCTCACTGTAGTTGATTTTGTTCTGCCTTGCCAGCATGATCTCTGGTGTATCAGGCATGATGTGAATTTGCGTCTTGTCTTTGTCCCAGGCCTCCGTGTATAAGCGCTATAAAAGAAGGTAAGTGCTGATTGAAAAGCATTCATAACAGGAATTACAAAAAGTCAAAATAAAACAGGGCCATTGTTAGCCTAATCAGGAAAAATAAGCCAAACTTAGATGTAAGGTAGCCCATTGGCAATTTGAGTCTTATTGCTAGTTATCAAGGTTCAAACTGGGAATAACAGAAACTAGTTAGTGAATTTCAGTGATGTAACTTAAAGAGGTAAATGTTATCCCACACTTTCCTAGATAGTTTTAGGTCCATTTTTTGTTTTGTTTTGTTTTTGTTATAGGGCATGTGTACCTTCTGGAGAGAGACAGAGAGAGATGGAGGGAAAATGAGAAATTTCTCCCCACCCCCATCCTCCTCCACCCCCCATCCCGGGAGATAGCCATGTTGCAATCCCTTCTTCTCCATTCTCCTCTCGGGATTTTGGACCCACACACATATGCCCAAGATGATTTTCAAGCCACTAGCTGTGGAACTCAAACCATGGAGTCGATCTTGTGGAATCTAGACCTCTTAACCACCACGCCACCTGTCCGGCCCAAAGTGCAATAATATCTTTTGGTACCTTGGAAAGCTAATTAAGACTGCTGGGACTCACCTTGTTCATGGTGATGGCGTTGTTCTTGGCCAGCACCTGTTCCAGAGAATCAGTCACACTGGTGAACTTCAGCTTGTCCGGAGGCTGGCGGTAGATGTTGTCGCTCAGAATCTCTGCAGCCCTCTTGCACTTGACCACATCCAGAGACCCAATGGGGACCCAGCCAATGCCTTTCAGCCACTGGAGATCTGACTTGTACACATTCTGAGAAGGAGAAAAAGGCAGGGATACTTCATCAGGACCAAAAGATTTAGGGTAAAGACACAAATGGAATAAACAATAAAGTTCAATTCTGTTTTTTTTTTTTTGTTTTCTTTTTTTTCATATAAAACAAACTCACTGTTAGGCAGACTGAAAGAGGAACTATGTTCTAAAATGAAGCAAAAAGTCTCTCAGCTGTAAGAAGTTATCGAGTACTTTAGGTTGTCAGGAGAGAAGGATCATACATAATATCTTCTGTCAGTCAGTTCAGTGAATTTTGTAATTGTGACATCCATGTGCCCAGGGAAAGAAGCCAAGCAGGGTGGGAGAAGTCATACAGTCTAACAACTGGCTAGCAGTAAGTCAGTTTAGGGCCTAGCTAAACGATGCACTCTGCAGCTGTTATGAACCTCCTTCTCTAAGAATATCGATGACATGTCAAATAAGCCTTTAATACAGTGTTGAGTGAAAAACTGCACATGAAGTAATGTGGGTAGATAAATTAATTGGAACGGCCTTTGATAATGTAAGATTATGATTGCTTTCTCTTTATGTTTTCCTTATTTCAAAAATATCTATACTTCTTTATTCTCTTTTTAAAAAGAAAAGTTAAGGGACATGGTGGGTTAAGGCACTGGACACTCCTGCATGGCCAACCACAGTTCAAGTCCCAGACCTGGTAGCTTGCTTTCTTACTTTCCCTCTCTCTGTGTCTCTCTCTGGTCAAATTAAAATAAACGAATGAATAAATAAAATTAAATAAATAATTATTTTTAAAAAGAGAAAAGTTAAAATATATTGAAGATGTAGAACCCCTAAAGCCCAAGGCAGACCTCCAACAGACCTATAACAGACCTTCAACATGGACCTATCACATTGTCCATGGTTCTGAGGAAGAAATGACCATTCCATCAGTATAAGGACCAGCCTCTTCTTTTCCTTCTTAGGAAGAAAGCACAAACTCCTTTCTAGAATCATCTTCCCATATCTTTATTTCTTACTTTTAATCATTCTTTTTCTGCCTAAGATTTATATGTACCCATTAAATACTCATAAGTATTTCACAATAAAGGTATCAGACACTTGCTCAGCTTGTTGGAAAGATTTCACCTGCAACAGCAACTAATTAGATGAGTATTTCTGTAGCCTAGACCAAAAGCCTATTAGAGTTGTCCTGTGCAGACTAGTTACTGCCCCAAAATAGCAACAGCTAGAAGTAAAGTAATATCATCTTGTACCTCTGGAGGGCCTTTCAACTTTCAAATGCTTCTCGCATTATAAAGGACATGTCACGGGGTGAGGAAGGCAATCTAAAAAAAGGTACCCAACAAATAGACGGATGGTAAGCAGTCTGTCGGTGTTGTCACTCTATGAGTGACATCAACCCTTTTAAACGAGCTTCTATGTGCTGTCAAAGCCTTCCTTTTAGGAGAGAACTGCAAAATGCAGAGTTCTGTATGTCGGAAGCTACAGGCCAGATGTGGGAGTTTCCCAGATGTGGGCCATGTGGTTTCTAGGAGCAGCCAATTAATGTACAATAATTGTTATGTTATTCTGCAAAGTCCTCTAATGCTTACATATTCCTTCAAATATTGATAAGATATATAATGTAGGAAATGTGTTTCTCCTGCTCAGATTGCAGATATGCATCTGCTTCCACAAGTACTAGGCCTGGCCTTTACCACGTGGCCTCTCCACAAAGGGAGCCATGCTAAAAGGAGCAAGTGTTGGTGTAACAGTCCAAGAGCTTGCATAAGCAGCAACTTCTGTTTCATAAGAAAGACCCTTAGCATCATCGCAGGCATTAGCATTCCAATCACATAACCTTATTGTTCTGTAAGGGAGTAAAAACCAGACTCCAGAGTAATTTCTTTTTTAAATAAAAATGTGTTGTTTCTTTCTCCTTTAAAAGAAGAAAATGTCTCCCTCTGGTGGACCTTGAATTCTGACACTACTTAATTTTAATTTCAAACCAAGTCTACCTTGCAAACTTCACTTTCCCCATGAAGCCTCTTAATGTGTTTATAATGGAGTAATGACACTGCATTCAAATTCAAGTCTCATTTACTGACAATATCTTAGCTTGAGTAAGTCAACTGATGAATATAAAAAATAATTTGCAGATAGTTTTGATTACTTCTGCACATGGCTTCATTTTAGATGTTGTACTCACATCACTCTGGAGGTCGTAGGCCTGGCGGGCATGGATCACGTCGTTCTGGTCGGGCAGGCAGGTCCACTGGTGCAGGTAGTTCTTGTAGTCCACGTCACTCACTAAGGCCTGACACTTCTTGGCCAGCACCACCCCCAGCATGTCCACTGGGCTGCTGAACTTGGTCTTCCACTTCTCAAAGTCCTTCTTATACTCCCTGTCACTCTGGATCTTGGCCACGTGCATGGACCACATCATCTTGGGGTCGTCTTTAATGTCCCGGGCCCCGATGTGGTGACCCAGCTGCTTGCGATAACCATCTTTGTATTTGTACTGAAAATGAAGTGCACAAATTAGGTTTAGGTTTTTAATCTTTGAAGGCTGCAAGTCTATTAAAAATCATCTTGCTTATATTAGAGTTTAACTGACTTTAGCTAAGAAGCACTAACTCAAATAGTCTCCTGGAACCACAGACGTAGCAAAATAGATGGGATTTATAGAGGTGTGCTGTATACCTAAACCTATAGCCCGGTAATAAGGCATAGCTCTGGGGCAGGAACTTGGGAAATGCAGGGAGGGGCCATTTGAACTGGGGAGCCTGTAGAATTGGATCTTATACACTAAAAGTGTGTCCAGAAAGGGATGTACTTGGTAGCATGCTGGGTTTCATAAGTAGGGAAGGAAGTGAGTGATTCCGACAAGCACGAAAGTACTCTAAGTCAAGGGCCTCCTGCAGCAGCTATGGGGGAGAATTTATTATCTCATGTTGGATTCATGCAGTTTGTAGAAGTGGCAAGTTTTAGGCATCATTTTGAAACTTAATTTTTTTTTTGAGAGAGGTTTTTGTTATAGGGCGTGTGTGCTTGTCAGACAGAGAGAGACAGAGAGACAGAAAGTGAGAAATCACCCCTCACGGGGGATGGCCACGCTGCAATCCCTTCTCCTCCATTCTCCTCTTGGGATCTTGGGCACACACGCACACACGCCCAGCTTGAGTTTAAACCACCGGGTCTGGGACTCAAACCATGGTCGATTACGTGGGAGTCTAGCGACATAGCCATTACGCTAACTGCTGGTCCCTTGAAACTTAATTTTACTAGTCAAGCTGACAAAGCAAGTCAACTGGTTAGAGCACGTTCCTAATAACATTATGGGCTCTTATCTCACGTGGGCCAGCAATGCTTTTGTTATTCCATGCTCGAGGATTGCACTGTGGAATCTCAGTCAATTATCCAAAATATGAAGAGTACCGAATGAGAAAGTATAGATGGTGCAGCAGGAGGTGATACAATACAGTGGAAGGAATGAGGTTGCCTGGGTCTTCACTCCACCACCTACTAAGAGTTTGACTTGAGCAAGCTGTTTAAACAATCCACAAAATGGGGATCATAGCATATCCACATCCTGGAGTGATTATGAAGAGTAAATGGGCCAATGCATGTGAAGCTCTTAGCACAGAGATCTCATTACTCTTTGGTTATCCTTACTTCATTATTGATTATTACTGGCATAAGTCCATTTGCTGGGAAAGTCCAACGTACATAAACTAAAGTGAGTCACTAACATGATATCCCAGTATAAAAGAGCATATTATTATATTCCTGAGTAGTGGGCTTTGATTTTCAGAGCAGTGGTTCTGTTCCTCAAGAATCCCTGAGGTGCCAGGGAAGGATGAGGGTTTCCCTCTGGAGGTACATGCTACATGGCCAGGAGGTATTGTTAAGGGAGAGTGCTTGGGTCAGTAGCCTTCACTAGTACTAATGAAACACCTTCTCATCATCATCATCCAAAGATGAATCGTAGTATCAGGTGTCATATACATTTTTAAAAACCTGTATATTAAAATTAAATGGAATCGGGAACCAGCAGTTAGTGTAATGGCTATGTCGCTGGACTCCCACGTAGTCGACCGCAGTTCGTGTCCCGGACCCGGTGGCTTAAAACTCACGCTGGGCACGTGTGCGTGCGTGCCCAAGATCCCGAGAGGAGAATGGAGGAGAAGGAATTGCGGCATGGCCATCCCCCCCTGGAGGGTGATTTCTCGCTTTCTGTCTCTATGTCTCTCTCTCTGTCTGTCTGGGGAGCACACGCGCCCTATAGCAAAAAACCTATCCAAAAAAAAAAAAAATTAAATGGAATCCAGGCCCTGATGTTATTGGAAGAACTTGAATTTAGGAGCTGCACTCTCTGTAAGCATTTCCATAAACACAGTGATAACTTAGATAAGCCTCTCTAAGCCTGCAGCTCACAGCAACCGCATACACAGGAACGGATCTTTCTCTATCCTCGTTAGACTAGTTTGCACTGATGATGCGTCCTACAGGTTACAAACCCCTCTTATAAACATCAAATCCATTCCTCCCAAAACTGAAGTTTGGAAAAATCTAACAGAAATACATTGGGATAGATTTTCAAAGACTTGGAAAAGTTCTTTTCAAAGACTTAGTTGAGTGCAAAGGCCACATCAAGTGGAGCGTGTACTGAGAATATGGCGGACAGCTCACATCACTGATGATGTCCCTGGAGGCCTTGGCTGCCACGATGGGGATGGCGTCGCTTCTCAAGTCGTAGCCTTTCTTCTTGGCTTCTTCGTTGGCAAGTTTATACAGGCTCTGAATTTAGGCCAAAAAAAAAAAAATCAGTTAGTTATTGATAATGACAGAGGGCTGAAATAACTGATCACGTTCTCCACAGACAGTACCTATCATCTCACTTGTGAGAGTTTATAGGTCATCTCCGTGTTTTTAAGACTTTAATATATACATATATATACATATATATATAGTTTTAAATCTTTTTAGTTAAAATGATGAATCAAACTTGAAAAGAACTGGGAAAATTAATCTGAAATTCATAGGCCTAGAGTGGCAAAATGCAGATCAGAAGGAAGGTCATGATTAAGTATTGTTCATGGCAGTGAGTTCAAGTCACATTTATTCTGCACTGACACTGTGTCTGTGAGTGTGCCAGGTGCTTGGGAATCAAAGGTGAGGATCAGACCTTTTCCCATTTTTGAAGTTTCTGGGAGAATTGATGGAAAACCTGATAACCTACGGAACCAACGGCTGAAAAGTCAAATCACAAGAGGTGATTTAACTTTTGGGTTGTCGAGAAAAGCACGACACATTTTTGCACAGAAAAATATGTCATACCTTTCACAATGACCTAATACATGGTTAGTAGAGAATTCAAGGAATTAGTAATTTACTCTAAATTAAGACTAAAGGAATTATCAGCAGAGGGAGTGATCTTCAGCTTGGACTTTGAGTGGTGATTAGCGTTTCCATAGAGTTAAATGTAGTCAAGGCAAAAGGGATCCAGAGCTTGAAAATTACGTCGGGTGTCTGTGTGTGCACCCAAAATCCCAAGAGGAGAGTAGAGAAGGAACTGTAGTATGGTTATCCCCTATCCCCCAGGGGTGTTTTCTCACTTTGCCCCTCTCTCTGCCTCTCTCTAGCAAGCATATGTGCCCCATAGCAAAGAAAGAAAAACAAAACAAAAACAAAAACAAAAAAAGTCACACTTTTGAGGAAAACATGACATAATAAATTTGCATCTCATCTCCCTGTCCTAGATAAGAGAGAAACACAAAAAAATAGAGCTAGGTTGATGAAGAAAATTTAGAGAAAGACTAGGCAGGTCAGACACTCATCCAAGGGAATTCTCCCTAGACCTCATCAAACTAGCAGTGGCACTACAGCGTCTCCGAGCTTTCTCAGCACACAGAGTTGAGAATTCCAGAAATGCTGAGTGGATAGCTACAGGTGCTCTGTGTCTCTTGAAATCCCTGCACATTTTTCTGTAACAATTAAGACCTATATTGCAGGCTTAGGTAAAAATTCAGTCCTTTCTGATTTGATAATAAGGTTTTCTGTTTTCAGTTTCTAGTAACAACTAAGAGTTAGTTACGCAAGCACTAAAATTAGTCTGCATGCCCAAAATAAAGTTATGTAAGAGGATGACTATTCTATCTAAATTCTCTAAGTTATATTCTGCAGAAGGGAAATACACTGTGGACTGTTGTCCAAAAAACATGTATTTTATTTGCTGGTGGCACAAAATTGATAGAAAGGACTAATACATCAGCTCACAGAGTTTGAGCTCCACAAAAGTCTCCAAAGGCTTAAACCCATAGCTCAATCTAAGAAGAAAAAATTGCAGAGAGATAAATGTGGGTCTTTGAACCGAGGTTTAAATTACCAAAAAGGCATACATGCAAGATAGAGGAAACCTAGCTTTAGTCCAGTAAACGGTCTTAGAATTTGGGCTGACCCTAAGCTCCATGTGCATGGCAGTGGCATGGCTGCCGATAAATCTTGGGAACACGAGGCACAGAAATGGAAATCAAGGGCCAGTCTCAGTGGCATGGTGGTTAGGGCAGCTGGATTCCACATAGTCAACTGCATGGTTCAAGCCCTGGATCTGAAGGCTTGAAAAATATTCTGGGCACGTGTGCATGTATGCCTAAAATCCTTCAAGGAAACATGGCAGAGAAGAAATTGGGCATGACCATCCCCCAAGGGAATGATTTCTCACTTTCCTTTTCCCTCTCTCTCCACTCTTTGTACAGCAAACAGTGAGTTATGACCCCTCTACCAAATCTGTCTCTCTGACAAGCGCATGTGCCCTATAGCAAAAAACAAACAAAATATATTTTTTAATAGAAATGGGTATTAAGTGCCCACAAGAGGAAAAGCATAGTTAATTGTATTTTACCCCAGTCACTTCCCACTCAACAGTGAACTATTTAGTTCTGAGAGTCACATTTTAGCATGGATACCATATGAGAAACTTGGGATGTTTTCTTTAGAAAGAGAGTCAGGATGTAGCTTGCAAGGCAGGCCCCTGGTGGCTAGCTCCATTTTCATGAGTGGGCACAGATTTATTCTGAGTGGCTTCAGAGGACTTGGAGAGAGCAACACTGGGACTCACTACTCAAACTATTTTCCAATGGGATTTTCTGGAACAAATGGACCAATTTATGACATAAGCTCTTTTGTTACTCTTAAACAAAAGAACTCTTAAGAAAAAGCAGGACAACAACCTATTGGGTGGGAACTCCTATACTGAAAAAAAAAAAGGCTGACCTCTCCACCTAAGCATCTTTGATTTTGAAATTGGGGCATGTGGCCCAATGGTTACCAAAAAGGAGAACGAATTGAGCTTGCTGATATATGCACTGACAGGTTCTGTCTCCCTGTCTCAGTGTTATTTGGTTGTGCTGTAATTTTAGTCCATGACTTTAAATTCAGATCTTAAATTTTGACCCTGAACTACAATTTAGGAGCAATAGACCATATTTAGAAAATATATTTCCTACAGTAAAGCTTTAGCATAGAAGGGAGATATAGACATATTTGTCTTATTGTTAATTTTCTAACTTCGAAAATTAGTAAAATAAAATGGTCTGTTTAATTGTACAGTTACTGGTGAACTCATTAGTTCTTGTAATTTGCATGTCCTAAATGGTAAGTCATATTACTTTAAGTTTGATGTTTATGATGGTGATTGAGAAATGCAAGAGTCGTTAGTCACATAAAGCAAGAAAAAGGTTTTTATAAAGATGTCACCTAGTACTACATGGAACAGGGTAATTGAAATAAAAAAAGCACACAAATATCAAAGAATTAGCATCCATTCTCACCTCACTGTAGTTGATCTTGTTCATTCTTGCCAACATAATTTCTGGTGTGTCCGGCATTATGTGGATCTGGGTCTTGTCTTTGTCCCAGGCTTCTGTGTATAATCGCTACCAAAGCAAATATATAAACTCACCAGGAAGAAAATGCAGTGTACAGAAATGTCGGGACAATCGGAAATTCATAGACAAGAAATAAAAGGTTATGCATTGTATGTACATTATGTATTTCATACACGTCTTCGAGTAATCAGTTCACTTTGAAACATATTTTTAAGTATGTTCTGGTCATCGGAAATATATTTTAACAATAGAAAGGAAAGTAAAAAAAGCATTTTTTATGCAAAGACTGTATTTCCATAAAAACATGTTATTAAATTGAAATCATGAAACAGTAACTGAAGTAAATATTAAACTATAAATTATAGATAGATAGGTAAGAAGGTAGGTGGATGAATGGCGTAAGTATTTTGTTGCTCTATTTTATTCTTTCTTCAATAATGCTTCATATTCTTTGATTCTGCTTCATGAATACCACACACTGGTTCTCTGAAATTTGGAGCCTTACCTTGTTCATAGTGATGGCATTATTCTTGGCCAACACTTGCTCCAGGGAATCAGTCACACTGGTAAATTTGAATTTGTCTGGAGGCTGCCGATAGACTTTATCACTCAAAATTTCAGTTGCCCTTTTACATTTTTCCACATCCAAAGAGCCAATGGGCACCCAGCCGATACCTCTCATCCACTGGAGGTCTGACTTGTACATATTCTGTTGACACAAAAAGCCAGTAAACATTTGTCCCTCATTGGGAGTACATTTCCATCTAAAGGATATAAAAAGTAAAATACACTGGAAAATTCTGTTTGGTGGACAGGCAAAGTTTTAGACAATATTCCATTTTGGGTTGGAGGACTGAAGGATTGCCATTTATAAGGAAGGAAGACATGCTACTTTCCTCTGGCAGGGGCTGGTAGGCTTTACCTACTCCAAGTAAGTCACTGAGTCCCCACCATTGCATATCACTACTATCCTCATTACTCACGTCACTCTGGAGGTCGTAGGCCTGGCGGGCGTGGATCACGTCGTTCTGGTCGGGCAGGCAGGTCCACTGGTGCAGGTAGTTCTTGTAGTCCACGTCACTCACTAAGGCCTGACACTTCTTGGCCAGCACCACCCCCAGCATGTCCACCGGGCTGCTGAACTTGGTCTTCCACTTCTCAAAGTCCTTCTTGTACTCCCTGTCACTCTGGATCTTGGCCACGTGCATGGACCACATCATCTTGGGGTCATCTTTAATGTCCCGGGCCCCAATGTGGTGGCCCAGCTGCTTACGATAGCCTTCTTTGTACTTGAACTAGGAGATGAAAAGGATTGATAGTCACCTGTTTTAACTTTTAGTAAAAAGCTAACAATAGGCTTACATTTTCCTATTCATTAATTTTCTTTTCTTTTCTTTCTTTTTTTGGAGAGGATTTTGCTATAGGGTGCATGTGCTCTCCAGAAGGACAGAGAGAGACAGAGAGATAGAAAGCGAGAAATCACCCCCCAGGGGGCATGGCCATGCCACAATCCCTTCTCCTCCATTTTCCTCTTGGGATCTTGGGCATGCATGCACGCGTGCCCAGCGTGAGTTTAAGCCACCCGTCCAGGACTCTAACCGCGATCGGCTACATGGGAGTTCAGCAACGTAGTCATTACGCCAACTGCTGATCCCAACTATTCATTAATTTTCCCCCTGAACCTACCAATAATATATAATACATGTATCTCGTAAACTATATGGAAAATAAAATATAAATACCAAAAAAAGGACAAGATTCTACCCTTCAGACATAGCATTTTGTAATGTGTGTTGTGTGAAAGAGAAAAAAATTAGAGTAGCAGTTATACTGTATATGTGCCCGTTAATTTCAGTTACCACATAAGCATTTCTCTGTGTCATTAAATTTTTTATAACCATTATTTTAATGATAGTAGGTATTTCATTACATGGTTTACATGAATCTGCTTGAATTTTTATTTTTAAATTATTATTACTTTCTGTATTTTGGATATGAACAAAAATACCTGTTCATTTTGTTTTGTTTTGTGGACAAAAGAAGTGGAAGGGTAAAAACTTCTAGAAATGTTAACAAATCCATCCTTTAGAGAAAGCAAATACCCACAGCCCATCACTGACTGCAGGGACAAAACCATGGTCCACACAGATGATTGGACTTGGAATAATATGTCCTTTTCACTCAGCCCTTTAGAGCCACTGGTTCATAGAGCATGCATTGGGTTTTGAAGGAACCCTACACTGAGTTTGATTGTGTGTAAAAAGTACGTCATGTGGAAAAGGCCAGACAGCTATCTGAATTATAATCAAGTATCCAGTGCTTTTGTTCA